TAATTAATTTCTAAATGATTTGTCACTAGAGGGAGGCATTAGGTGTCATCTCTTATTAAATTTAATAATTATAAGTAATATTTATTAAATAATTTAGAAAATTATTAATATATTTTCCTTATAATTAAATTTAAATATATTAAATCTTTTAAATCTTATACTATATTAAATAAATTTCAAATCAGTTATGAAATTCACTTGATGATTCCAAAGAGATGAGAAGATATTTTAATGTGTTAAACTGATATTTAACATTTAATAATTAAATTATTTGAAAAATTTAATGTAACTGGTTTATATATAGCAGAACAATATGAATAAATATATAAAATCCTTGAACACAAGTCATCCACATGTTGCAATAAAAATTCAAAAAAGTTAAGAGTTTAAACATTATGAATTAAGCTGGATTTGCTGGATCTTGCTCCTTCCAATAATTATTATTATTTTTTCTGAAACTTAAAAAAACTTTCAGACAGAAAAAATTTGACTGATTTGAAGATTTGAAAAATCACATTGAAGATTTTTTAAACTTTCATTTGAATTTAATTGCAGAGACAGTTTACTTGTAATACTGATAGTTTAGTATTCTAAGAGAATGAGACTGATACACACAAATAAACATTTATTATAAACTAAGTAATTTCTATTTGACTAGCTAAGGACAAAAAAATATGCACAATTTTTCTGGATTACCCAACACAGTTATTTAATTTTTAAAATACATGAAATATTAAGTTTTGATATATCTTATTTTTCTGCAACAAAAATATTACTAAAGACTTCTGGTGAGATATTAAGAAATAGAGCACATTTTTTCTTCATTAAATGAATTTTAATGAAGAAAATAAATTAAAAATAATTATAAAAAAACAAACGGATTATTTAACTTAATATCTGTATATAAAAAGACATGATAATGGAAATATTCTCTCTAAATATAAAAAAAATTAAAATATTTATGACAAATTTTAAAAGAAGTAAATTAATTTTAAACTTAACAATACATTAAGCAACAATACCAAAAATATCACCCTCACAGTATTAAATTATTTTAAAGTGTAAAACAAAATTCCACTTACTTCTGATGTTCCATGAATTTTTTCATCCCACTGAAAATCTGGTGTAATTGTTAACTCCACTCTTAGTGTTGAACGAGTAATAGGTTGAATATGTGCTGAAAGTTCTAATTTTGGAAACTGATGGACATATTTATGGACAGTTTTTCCTAATTTTGGCATTCTCAACATTTCACCAATTTCACTTGGTCCTAGGTCATAGAGTCTTTCCCAAGGAAAACTTTTCTTCTCTATTTTTTTAACAACTTCATCTGGAATTTTCTTGAACTGCCGTAATGGTGACATTGACTGCCACCTAAAATAATAATTTACATTACAATAAAATTATTTAATGATCTATTCTATAGCATGGAAATTTGTAATTCATATAATTTAAATACTGAATGCCTATTTTTATAGTTAAAATGTTATTTATATAATTGAAGATTTAAATTTCAATAAATTAAGTATCCATTTGTAATATTTAATAGTAGAAATACAATTATTTAGTTTATGATATTCAAACTGTACAATATTGAAATTACTAAAGGTTGGATATTTATTATTTATTCCAATTCCAAACTTTTCATATTCTTTTATATTTCATAGTAAGATATCATAATATCATGATTATAAAATAAATTACAGTAGAACCTCGATTATCCGGACTGTTCAAAATAAACAAAAATTTTACGAATTTGCTGATTTGCACTTGGCGAATTACGATGCTGTTTATGTACGTGATAGAATGCATAACTTTTTTTGTTTCAACGTCTCACCCAGCACAGTGGCCGTAAACTCTTAAATATATTTTGCATCATAATAAAAATATAACTTGACATATGTATTTATAAATAATTTATTTTCAAATTACATCATTTCTATGACCAAGGGCGGAGTAAGGCATGGGCAACGTGGGCCACCACCTATGCCTCGTGGTCTGAAGGGCATCACGTTTCAAAGGTTTATACATTACTTAAAAGCCGCGAATGCGACGAAAAAATTTTACTCGTCATAAAACGATAAATAGTTTGTCAAATTTTTATTCATAAAAATGCAGTTTCAACTGCTTTTTATTTTATAAAATCCGTCTTCTTGCACTACCAGAGGGCCTTTTAAACAATAGGTAGTCTTAGCGTTGGTCAGTAGTAGTCCAAATTCGATACGAACGTTTGTTTCTTGAAAATTTGATTACGGTTTAAATACAGTATTTACTTTTAATATTACCGATTTGTCATCGAAAAGAAAATGTGTTGTATTATCATTAAAAGACAAATTAAAGTATTTGTTTCGATTATCCGAATTTTTCCCTTATCCGGACTACCTTCATCCCCAATTAGTCCGGATAATCGAGGTTCTGCTGTAGTTAACCATATTGATAAATGATGATTAAATTAATCAAATTTTATTTTTACTGCAATTAATAAATCCTTTTACATTTATGCAGTTAGTTCATGTTAAAGAATTAGTCATAATCTACTATGCTATTATAAATGTAGTGTAAGATTGAAATGATATTACTTACATTCTTTTATCAATCATCTTACAAAGACTTAAAGCTTTATCTGCTAATTGAGCCCATCCTCTATGTAGCACAATTTCAAAAATTGCTCTCATTAGACGAGCGGCACTTTGAGTTACATAAATCATATCTGCCATTAATGCAAGTCCTTCTAACTTCAACTGAGAAATATAAGCTTGTAATAAAACATTCACTTTAGCACTTGTTTCTTCCATGCTTTCTTTGATTGGTATTGGCACTCTTTCCATCAGTTTTTGTAATTCTAATTTTTCTTCCTTGAAATTTAATTTTATATATAAAACAACAAATTAATTATATATTATTTTAATTGCATATGAAAATTATTAAATGATTTTTAATATTTATTTAACTATAATTTTACCTCTCTGATTGTAATGTTCTTAAATTCACTGGACAAGGAAAATACACGAAAGAGTTCTATTTCACTGAGTGTTGGTTTCAGTAGCTGATTATAAGTAGACATTGTTTCATAGGTGCAGTAATAATAACTAGCTATACGACCTAACTCAGTCACCTGTTAAAAAATTAATCAGTTGAACAAACTGTTTAAATTATATAAGCAGAAAAATTAAGATTAATTTTGCAATGAAAATAAAATAGTTTCAAAGATTAAAAAAATTATAGTTCTTACCTGAAAATTCCCAGCTTTTTTGTCAAATTTTACTAAATTGCTTTTATCAAGTAAAATAGCAGCTGTATAAATAAGATCCGCACGACGTTTCTCAAGTACTTGATCTTCTTTTAAAGCATCATGTGATACTCCATACAAAGTTGGAGCACGCAACATACGTATATATAAGTAAGTGTAACCAAGCCAAGTGCAAGCATCTTTAGCAGTTTGTATATTGCCAAGTACAATTTCAGCATTCAGCATATCAGGCAACTTACTAATCAGCTGGCTTTCTATAGGTAACTATAAATAATTTGAATATATTTAAATTAATCTGCTATTCACACATATATATATATTATATATATATATATAAGTTTTCTTTACTAATGTATTGAATTATCAACTTCTAAACAACCACTGATAAGAACATAAAAAAATGTTTCTACCAGTACCAATCGTTGAGAGATAAGATGAAAATGAAAGATTATATAAATTGAAGGAAAATATCACTTTTGACATTGTATAAATATTACAAAAAATTTTTTTTTGTACTAAAGTCCTCTAATGTGTAGAGAACTATTAAAAACATACCTAAGTTAATCTTTAATGGTAGGCTATAAGCTATGTTAAAACATGTAAAAACGAGGAGGATATTTTCTGCCTACAACGATAACTTTAATTTTTCATTTATTTAGATATATAAACAATCACCATAAATAAAGTACTATCAATTGTAATTTAAGTTTTAGTTGTCTACTATTACTGGCTGGTAGCATACACATTAAAAATATTTGATTTATTTGCAAGTGCTAAATAAGAAAATATATATATCTTTAAAATAAAAAATTTCCTTTCTTTTATACTATGTTCAGTATTACACAATTTTTTTTTACAAAATTAGAAATCAAAATGAAATTACATATTTATAACTAACCTGTTGATTTAAAAGTGAGAGATAATACTGTAGTTCACTATGATTGGTAATAAGTATTCCTTCACCTTTAGTATCATACTGAGGTCTTCCTGCTCTGCCTAACATCTGAAAAATGTAAAGCTCTTTATTATTTAAATATCGAGTTAAATATTTGATATTACAGAATTACAAAATCAAACATACTTTATGAAAAAGTACATGAAATATTTAACATTTATTTTCTTTTAAATTAATTATTTTTCTTAAAAATGATATGTTTAAATAAATAAATATTTATTGTTAATATAATCAAAATGCAAAATGAATACTTCATTCAAAGTATTTATCTTTAATATAATTGGAATGCTATTTTTATTTTAGCAATTTGTCATGGATTTTTGTATAGATCTTGCATTCAGGTTTTATTATTATGTTGGGTGTAGTGTGTTATACTCTATTGATGTCAGTTGCTGTCTATGCCTGACCAGAGTCAAGGCCAGGGATGGCCAACAGTTTTTGCCCCAGGCTGAATTGGAAAGAAAACTTTTTTCACGGGCTGAACCAGAGGCTGCCCTAGAAAGATTCTGAGGTGGTGTGAGATCTCATTGTGGTGTCACCCTGTAGAGACTAAACTGTACATAGTGATTACAGATACATTTTTCACATTATCATTCTTTACCAACATTCTATGCTGTACTTAAGAGATTTGTAATGGAGAGTTAACTCTAAATGCACAGTGTTTTTTTTAGGCGTTAGAATTTTTCATTGAGTTATTCGGACTTAAGTAGCTAATATTGAAAGATTAATCGCAAACCACATAAATTCATCAGATGGGCTGTATGTTGGCCATGCCTGATCAAGGCATTGCAACCAAAACAAAACAAAAATTAAATAAGCCTGTCTGTGTGTGTGTCTGTATTCAGGAATTTCTTAACAATATGACATGTATTCAATATAGTGGCCTTCTTTATTGTGATGTATGTTTCTATTCAACTGTAATGTTCCCAGGTTCTTGTGTAGTGTGTGTGGTATGACACCTGCCTGTAGAGGCGAGAACAACAGGTACAATAAGCACCTTGTCCATCCTCCACAGATGCCTTATTTCCTGGGCGAGTTCTGTGTACTTGCTGATTATTATTATTATTATTACTGACACATTCAAAATCAGGATAGATTCTTGCAGCATTTTAATTTTTGAATATCACATTTAATTAATTTAAATATATAAAATTACTTGTCCTGGCTGACTGACTGCTTCATCATCACCCAGAGCAAACCGCTGAACCTAAAGACGTGAAATTTTGTACACAGTTAGGGTATGTCATGAAAACGCACACTAAGAAGAAATTTTTAGAAATTTTCCCCGTGAGGGGAGAGGGAGAGGATTAAGGCTTAACCTGAAGAATGGCTTCTACTGTAATATTTTAGATGCAATTTTATTGTTTTCAACTATGTTTAGTTTTCATTGAGTACTTAGGTGTATTAAATTGATAACATTTCAGACATTGTTATTTTATATATTTTAGTTTTTTTTTAACCAAATGTTCAAACTGTTTTAAATTTGAATTTGTTATTTCATATTGGTTTGATTATAAGCGTCCCAGAAAATTGATCAAATTGAAAATAGTTCATTTGATTCTCAGCGGTAGGTGTTATATAACGATTACTATGGTTGTTGAAATACTGAATATAAATGGGGTTTGCTTGCAAAATCCATGTGGGCAAAGTCGTGGGTAACAGCTAGTATACAATATAGACACAAGTTTTGAAGAAGCATATTACCAGATTCTTGTCTTTTTTTTTTTAACCCCTTCTGAGCCGCGCTCGAGTGTGACTCGAGCAAGTTTTATAGCGTTACGTCGTTAAGGCCACTTTTGAAAAAATTATTTTTTTTGAATTTTTGGAATGTTTTTTAGGTCCCCAAATTTTTTCAGAATTTTTTGCGCACGCAAAAAAATTTTATCGCAATTTTAATGAGCCTTTGATAAGGCTCGATTAAGGCTTAATGTTTTTTTAATGGGAGTTTTTTATCAAAATTAATTTATCATTCTAAAGTTGTAGCGCACCGATTTTCCTTCGGTAAAGTTATTTAAAGCTGCTTTCTGATGTCAAAAACGACTTCCGATAGTTTTTTAATTTTTTTAATTAATAGATTTTATTATATAGAAGTTTAATTAATTAGGGGGGGTCGGAAATCGCAATAAAAATTATAATTTTTTTAAAATATTTAAAAATATACCGCCAGATTGAAGTCACCCTACTTTAAACCCTTGTCCTCCCGCGATGTCTATGAGAATGTCCCGGGAAATCGGACTCCAGCTGTGTTCAAGGTCACCCAGCTGTGTAAACAATGACTCATCGGTGTTACATTTCACAGACAGGCGAAACAAAGGAAAATAAAATATAAAGCTTTTTCTTCAAAATTAACGCATTTCTTTCGTGTTTTTTCAGTTTTAAGTATTTTTTATGCATAATTAAAAATTCTAAAACAATGGGCGGCTCAAAGGGGGTTAATTATGATTTGTATCATACATTAATAACTTCAACATTAAAACATAACGGCATTTTTAATAAAACATTTTTAAAAAAATATTAATTCATTTAATGTAAAATTAATATCTATTGAAACATTATTTACCATTACGTTAAGATTAAGAAAATAAACATATTTATATTTACCTGTAAAACATCTAATGCTCCTAATTCCACCCAACGACCCTTTTCAGGATTATAGATCTGTGTACCTTTGATAACAACAGTGTGGGCTGGTAGATTAACACCCCAAGCTAAGGTTGCTGTTGAAACCAATACTTGAATGTGTCTATCAGCAAACAGATCTTCTACTAAAGTACGATCCACTCTGAAAAAGTAAAATAATTTGATTTGTATTACTTGATTTACAAAACAATATAAAGTCTATTAAAATATCTTTATATGTGTAGCTTTTTTTTAAGTAAAAGATAATGCTGTGCTGATAATTGATATAGCAAACCAAAACTTATAAATTTTTGCAATATTAATATTGATATTTTAAATTTTAGAATAACATAGCAAAACTAATAAAATACTGAATATTGGCATTTGTTATCAACTTAAACAACTCTTCGTTCTTTCACCATAACAATTCCTCTATCTGCCAGGAGATTTTGCTAATGTTAAAAATTCTGAAAGGTTGTTTTTAACACTAGTGCAAACTATATCAAAATCTTTTCTTGTATACTTAATGTTTTTCAATAATATATGGTATTCAATACTTTTCAGTATTTATTTATTATTGATACATTGAATCAATCTTGGTATAAAGTCCAATATCAATATCAAAATTTTGGTTCAGCACAGCCCTAATATGAATTATTATGTGAAATTTTTGAGATGAATATTGATTCTTTAATAAATTTAAATATAAATAAAATTAGAAAAACTTCAAATTAAATTAATAACTACAAAATTTACCTGGTCATTCCAGCATGATGAATGGCAAAGCCATATGGTAGAAGATCTTTTAATTCCAAATTCTACAAATCATATCAATTATTAAATGAATTATTTAAAAATAAATTAAACATTTCAATTATATAATGCTTGAATTATAGTAATTAAAAAATACCTTGACTTGTTCAGCTTCTGTTCTCAAAACTTCAGTTGATGCAGAGCCTTCTCTTAAAAACTGTCCAAGACTATCTTTTTCCAAACACATATCTCGAATGGCACGAGCAGTTTTGCCAGTTTCTTTACGTGAATGAACAAAAATTAATACCTGCAAAAAAAATTTTTTTTTTAATTTTCTAAATCATATCAATTATTAAAATACTTTCAAATATAAAACTAACTTGATTTTTTCCAGCATGTTCCATAATTTTCTCATAAAGAATTTCATTCATAAGTTGAAATCGTCTGATAGCTTTTTTTTCAGTAACACCTATGTATTGTTGTTCTAATGGAACAGGTCTAAAACTGTTATCAAAATAAAATAATCCTTTTGAATGGTCCACTCTGAGAAAAGTTGCCACATCTTCATAATTAGGTAATGTAGCACTTAGGCCCACTAGTCGTACTTCTTCTTGAGTTGTTTCAATATTACGAATACTCCTGCATATTAAAGTTATGAATATAGTTAACATCTAGCTAAGTTTGATATCATTTTTATTTAAATTAATTACATTTGATAAAGATTTGAGTTAATGATATTAGTTATTATAATTAGTAAAACTTGGCACCATATTTAAATATATCTATAAATTCTACTTGTTAAAGTAACCAAATATTTAATTTTTTTTTATATTTAAAACATTTTTAGCTCTGAATCCATATTCAGTAGAAATTACTTTATATTAGATATTCTAAGCATACAGAACAAATTAAAAAAAACTGTAGTTACCATACCTTGCAACCAAAGCTTCTAAAACAGGCCCACGTTCATCATGAAGCAAATGTATCTCATCCTAAATTTACAATTTTTGTTTTAGCATTAAGAATTATGTTTTTTTTATGGATAAATTAATTTTCTTACTACTAACAACTAATTAAATTCAAATTAATAAAAGTTTATCCTAACAACACACATCATTACTTAATTTTATATAATTTTCATATATTTAAAAAAATATTAAGTTTTTCAATAGAATATGTAACTAAATTTTATTGCTATGGATAAATAAATCAAAAAACTTTTTATATTTGTTTGAAAATTTTATTATAATTTTATTTGTACTATTTTGGTATAAAATATCTATTGATAGCATCAAGAAAATATTGGCTCTTTAAATATCGATACAAGACTCATTTTTTATTGTAAAGTAATAACTGATCAATTGAAATAGAATTTCATTTCAAAGTTTTATATTTATTTAATTATATTTCATATCTATTCTCAGTTGACAATAAAAAATATTAATATGCAGAAACTAATTAGAAAGTTATATTTATAAATACCAAATAAATAAATATAAATAACTTACAAAAATCATTAATCGTACAAGTTGTGTATAAGTTCTTTCTCCACCTTTTCGAGTGATTATATCCCATTTTTCTGGTGTACAGACAATAACTTGTGTAGCATTTATTTGTTCTCTAGTTAATTGATGATCCCCAGTTAATTCAGAAACTACTATGTTATAGGATGAAAGCCTCTAAAATAATTTAAAAGTAAAATAATATAAAATTTTAATATTAAATTATTATTTCATTTTAATATTTAACAATATTAAATTACCTTGCTAAAATTTCCAACCATTTCTTGGACTAATGACCGCATGGGAGCAATGTAAATTATCTTGAATTCATCTGCATTAATTGTTCCATCTGAATTTATGTGTTTTCCTATTTCTCTCATCATGCATAACAATGCTACATTTGTTTTTCCAGCACCCTTAAGAGGAGAGAAAACGTGCAATTATTAAAATACCAAAAAAATTTAAAAATGAAAAATAAGCAAAAACTTCCTTACAGTTGGAGCACAAAGTAAAAGATTTTCATCTGTTTCTAATGCAGCTTTACTCAATCTACTTTGAATTCTATTAAGACTTTTATAACCATCAAATACTTTCTGTACATATTTTGGTAACCGGTCAATAGGAACTAAAGACTATAAAATAAATTTTTTAAAGATTATCAAACTAATATAATATTTTTTATGTTATTTTTCTGTACCATTTAAAAAATTAATAATTTTTATACCTCATTTGATTCAAATGGCTTTGGTTTTAGAGCAGGAACATGAATTTCTTCATATCCTCTTCTTTGTTTTCTAAATGAACCATCAGGTAACTGACATCGTTTATTTGCCATAAAATGACTTCCTTGATTAAATGTCAGATCTGTCAAATCTAAAGCTTTGCATTGTGTCATCTGAAAAATTTAACAATTTCAAAAATATTTCTTTATTCTTATTTTCCACATTATATAGCTCAAAACTTAAACACTCACATAAAAATAAAAAATAAAAACTTTAATTAAACTCCAAAAATTAAGTTTTGTTATTAGAAAACTCACATTTTTTTTATTAATGTACAAAAACAGAAAATCTAATTTATTTCTTACAGTGTTAACTTACATTAAAAAAAAACGATTTCACTTTTTATTTGTAACCAAATAATAATAATTATTATTCTAAAACATATANACAATATTAAATTACCTTGCTAAAATTTCCAACCATTTCTTGGACTAATGACCGCATGGGAGCAATGTAAATTATCTTGAATTCATCTGCATTAATTGTTCCATCTGAATTTATGTGTTTTCCTATTTCTCTCATCATGCATAACAATGCTACATTTGTTTTTCCAGCACCCTTAAGAGGAGAGAAAACGTGCAATTATTAAAATACCAAAAAAATTTAAAAATGAAAAATAAGCAAAAACTTCCTTACAGTTGGAGCACAAAGTAAAAGATTTTCATCTGTTTCTAATGCAGCTTTACTCAATCTACTTTGAATTCTATTAAGACTTTTATAACCATCAAATACTTTCTGTACATATTTTGGTAACCGGTCAATAGGAACTAAAGACTATAAAATAAATTTTTTAAAGATTATCAAACTAATATAATATTTTTTATGTTATTTTTCTGTACCATTTAAAAAATTAATAATTTTTATACCTCATTTGATTCAAATGGCTTTGGTTTTAGAGCAGGAACATGAATTTCTTCATATCCTCTTCTTTGTTTTCTAAATGAACCATCAGGTAACTGACATCGTTTATTTGCCATAAAATGACTTCCTTGATTAAATGTCAGATCTGTCAAATCTAAAGCTTTGCATTGTGTCATCTGAAAAATTTAACAATTTCAAAAATATTTCTTTATTCTTATTTTCCACATTATATAGCTCAAAACTTAAACACTCACATAAAAATAAAAAATAAAAACTTTAATTAAACTCCAAAAATTAAGTTTTGTTATTAGAAAACTCACATTTTTTTTATTAATGTACAAAAACAGAAAATCTAATTTATTTCTTACAGTGTTAACTTACATTAAAAAAAAACGATTTCACTTTTTATTTGTAACCAAATAATAATAATTATTATTCTAAAACATATAAATAAATTTTAAAAATACTTTTGATTAAAAGTAAAATGACTTGAAATATTATTTTATAAATTTTAGAATTTTCATAAACCATACAAATATTTTAGTATAATTTTTTAACAGTTAGGATTTAGGAATTTCAGATATCAAAAAAATTGTATATTTTTAAGAGCAGAATTTTCTTTGAAATTGTTTCTAGATTTTTTACAGCATATTTCAAAGTTACTTATATTTACTTATATAAAGTTACTTATATACAAAAATATTTACATTTTTGTAAATATGCTTTTTTTATTTTAGAGTATGGATTATCAAATAAGAAACTAATTCATAGTCAGTTTGATTATACAGTATAATGACCTTAAATAAAATTTTCTTTACCTGCATAGCATTATCTTCTTCTATATCCATTGCTTCAAGATCAGCATCAACTCTTGCTTGTCGTGCTTGAGCTCTTCTTTCTCTTGCTTCCTGCAATATGTGTAACATCATGTAATAACACAATTTATATAATAGAAATATAACTAAAAGAAAGGATAAACTTTAATTTAAAAGAAAACATATTCCATGAAAAATATATACAGTATTATTTCAAAATATATATTTTAAAAAAAGTAAATTTATTTAATTTTTTTTTACAAATGATTAAAATTTTATTAATATTAAATATAAAGATCAATACTTGAACAATATCTTCTTTTTCAGTATTTTCCAACTGTCTAAGTATTTTTTCCAGTTCTGGATCAGCTAACATTCTATCTCTAATTTTTATTCTCTCTGCAGCACTTTGTGAAGATGCAAGAAGAGTACAATATAATACTAAAATGAAATACAAAAAATATATTTTATAGCAATCGTAATTTTTGCTATGGTATTGTGAAAAAGAATAAAACTAATTATATTAACTATTAAATATCACTAGATTTTAAATAAAAGTATTAAAAATTTTATATCTGTCACAAAATAAAAATGATTATTCATTATATACAATTAGAAACACTATATTTATAAAAGTTAACATCAGTTACAGGCAAATGAATAATCTAATGGCAATATAGCACTGCAGCAATAAAATTTGCTCTGTTAACATTTCATATAGTTACTAGCTGTCAAACTATAGACAAGGGGTCATCAAACTTTTTTGATCACCAACCCCCTACAAACTTTTCGAAACCTCACATTGACCCCCACCAAAAAGTGTGTTACAAAAAAAAGCACTTACTATTTTAATAATTTCTTTTAATTTTACATTTTTTTACATTTATTGTATATATGTTAAGAATAATTTTTGTAACTTGACATCAGTGAGACAGGTAAGCTTGATGATCTTTTGCAAGATTAGCAATATTTGGTTCAAAATTTGTAAGTTTTAGTCTTAAATCAACTTATTGGTTAAGATGGAATTATCACGGCTGAAACTAGCTTCAGTCATAAACGAATTTGAATTTGGAAATGCCAGCAAAATCTGATTTACCACATCACAAAGTTTTGTGTATTTTTGTGTTATATTTATATTCATCCAGAAATTGCTCAAACTAAAATTTTATAAAGCTTTTTTGCTTCAAGGTCAGCTAATAATTCAATAAGTTCATCTTGCAAGTTGATGACATTTTTGATTTGAGCAGAAAATGGCACAATAATCCATTCTGGGATATTAATATTTTCTAAATCTGAAAACACTGTACTATTAAATTCATCGAAACAATATTCAAAAACATAATATGTATAGTTATATTTGTGATTTTTAGTTTCAATTTTTCCATTGACCACTCAATAATGTCATATCGACTACTTTGGCAACTCCTGCTATAGACTATATAATGCTTGATGATTTGACATTCTGGCATTCTCAGTTATCAATAAGACTTTTCCACAAATTTTGATAATTATCAACCTTTTAAATATCAATTCATTTTTAAAAAATGAGTAAAATAGTTGCTTTATTACCTAGAACTAAAAAAACCAATTTAAGATTTAATGTTTTCTCAACTATTTGCTTTATTTTGATTTCTTTAACTTATAATCAAATCGTTTTACATTGAAAACATTTAACTATTTATTATTCAGAAAAGAAAATTCTCTTTTAAATATTCATTTAATCAAATCATTCTCCATCTTTCTGATATACACTAAGATTGTGGTTTAGAAATGTAGTTCCAAAGTTGAATTATGTCCAACTTCAAATATGTGAAACCAGTGTCATGCTATGCCAAGTTATACACGAACCAAAGTTTGACTAATGTATTTTTGCGGAATGACTGGCATGCCAGTTTAAGTGAGGTTATACATCCCTCTTTAGAGGGCGCATTAAAAAAATGAAGGAGTTTTTTATTCTAAAACCATGAAACTGTTAGCATTACATCAAAAACAATGATTATATGTTTAATTTCTTCATTCTGTCTTTTTTCTGACAAAGTAAAGTTCCAAAAGTGCTTTTCCTTGTGTTTTACTGTTGATTCAAAAATGCAAAACCAAACATATTAAATTTAAGAAACTAACTGTAAATTATCTCAGCTTACACCATTAACATCAGCTTTGTGTGAAATTTGAGAGGAAGGTGTTATTTTTAAGGTTAAGATAGATGGTCAGTGTAGCCCACATCGACTAACTACTACTACTACTACTACTACTACTACTACTACTACTACTACTACTGTCAATAAATTGTTAATTGTTTTATTGTCTTGTAAACAAAAACTCTCTTCCTGATTTTAAGTCAATTAAATTATAATGTTATTATTTTATTGTAGTGGAAGAATGTTTTCTTTGACATTTAATTAACAACTAGTTTTGTTAGATCTGATTAATTTTATATTTTAGTTGCAGTTTAACAGGCATGCCAAAAAACCTTGGGGTTTCTGGCATGCTGGTCTCCCCTGTTTTTTATGTGGCATGCTGGTCATTTTGAAGAAATATGGTATAAACCACCAAGCTGATTCGTCACCCTCAGCAATGACTGAAATTTTATGTTGGCTGCTGCCAGACTATAACAGTCCTTAATTCTATTGAATCATTTACCATTACTTAAAATATGTTAAAAAATTTTAAATGTAAATTATAGTGATTTGAAACAAATTAAGTAATTTTTTGTAAGCAATAAATTATCACTCTGACAAAATATTGCAAAGTTAAACAAATATTAAGATAAAATAACTCAAAATAAATGTCACTTTTAACTTATAGTTGCAAAACTCTGTTAAGACATTCAGATCAGAACAGATGTATAAGATATATCATTTGACTCAACTAAGTTATTAAAAATAAAATATAAACATGTTAAAAAAAATTCAAGATCCTAAATTTGAATTATTACTGTTTACACGTACATTGATAATTTACATTATGCCAAATAATGTAATGCAAGGTTACCAGACTTTTTTAAAAATTATTTCATTTTCTTTTTTGTGTTTCCTGTAATATACACTCGCTGGAATCAGCTTTAGATCATGGTTTTAAAAAAATGCAGTGAAAATTTTCAGTTTTTAAAAAAAGGAAATGTAGTGAAAGTCATCTAATATTTACAAAGAGGTATGAGAATTCAAAGTCAATGGATTTCTCAACAGACATTCATTATGCCTGTAATCTGACAGAAGAGTGAACTGCATCCAGCCTTAGATCTCATAGCAGTAGTAATATTTATATTGATATCATTATAACTTTGTTGCCAGAGTCCCAGTAGCAAATAAGCAAGTGAGATGTGAAAATCTCAGGTATACTGTTACTATAATAGAAAAAATAGAACACTAAATAGACAAAAAAGTTGTCACACAATAAATTCATAACCATAATGAAATTTTGGATAATATTATGTAAATATTTCTAATGGATATTGAATTTATATACTATATTTATTTATTTATTTTTAACTTTTGCATTTCTATCAGTTAAAAATGTCACTTTCATTTTAATGATGATTTTCTCCCTTTTGATTTCTATGCCATCAATAGTTTCAACAACAGAAACTGCTGATTTATGGAATTTTAGTATTATAAAGTAAGCCAGGGGGATGATAAAACTTTTCTAATTTTTTAATGCAGTGCAAAATAATATAAAGTTGTAAGACATTTTATTATTGTGTACATTTACTGAAATCATATTAAATATTAAAATGTCTTCAAGAGAAACTTGAAATTAAAAAAAGACTTGTAAATTTTTTTTAAAATACCGTGTAATCAAATTTATGAAAGCTTTGAGTTATATTGTAAATTATTTTATATGATAATTTTTTCCCTATCAATTCATTAATAATTAATACAATTAATTTACATTATTCTGTAAGAATTTATTTTAAAAATATATTTTACAAAAGCTTCTGAATTTTTATTTATAAAAATCATTCAATAAGCAACCTTTTTAAAAAAATTGGTTAATTAATGATGAAAAAACAAATTATTTCTGGGAAAGAGTAAATGTGTGCATTATTAAAATAATGAAAATTTTAAAAGCTAAATAAATAATTTGAATGCTTTTAAATAATTTTTTATTAAAAAAAAATAATAATAATAAAAATTAATTGTGCAATTTTAGGTCATATTAAACACAACTTTTGTCACTTATTTGGAAGTGCACCATGCAATTTTGATAAAGACTTAATAGCTCATTTTCTGAATTTAATTATATTCAGATAGATCTTAAGAAATGAAGCCAAGTATAATTAATAGAATATTAATATATTATTTAAATTAATGGAAACTAATCTAAACTTAATCTTTACCTACATTTAAATAACTTATAATAATTATTTGGATTAATTCCAGCAACTTCTCTCAACAGATGAAAGAACGTATACAAAAAACACATTACAGAAAAAATCAAATGATAAATATAAAAAATTTAAAATCTACATTTAATTATCAATTAAAATCAAATTGACATTTTTTTGGGGGAAAAGCAATATAAATTCATAATTTATGCCTACATTTTATATATGTTTCATTAAAATTTTCTTCTCATTTATATTTAAATAAAATCAATATTTTCAACTTTTTTCAATATTTTCTTTATGCTAATATACTGAAATGGTAAGTAAAACAAATAAAACTTACTCATTTGTCGATGTTGTCGTAAAACTTTAATAAATTCAAACTGGTTAAATCCCAATAAGAGAACAAGTTGATTTTCAGCATCTCGATCATCAGTTGCAGTCTTAAAATATATTACAATACATTTAATATATTTCATGTATAAGAAACTTTCTCCAATTTAATATTAAAACTAAAGACTAAATCAAATAAACTAACATTTAATATTTCTAACACTTCTCCAGCTTTTGTTTGCGCAACTACAGGATCATCATAAAACTTTCGAAGTTTCCTTTGTAACCAATATGCATCAATTTCTCTTGGATGAAGTGGTTTGTTACCCTTTCCTCCAGATTCTTGATTCAATCCCAACTGTAACAATGATGTAATAATTAAATTAAAGAAAAACTTTTTAATTTTAAATCTTACAACATAAACACATATATATTACAAATATATATCAAATTGATTTACAACAACTAAAGAATTCCTTATTATTGCTTTATTTTCTCAAAAACAAACGGTTTCTTGTTATATGTTTAAATAAATTAATGTTCAAATAATTATTATTTATGTGCAAAGTATTGGACTAAATAATCATTGCGTTATTATATAATAATGTAGGAAACAAATGTATAAAATAATAAATTTGTAATGTCCAAAATTGTAGTTTGTAAAATTATGAATAAATTTTGTTGTCCACAAACATGAACTTGAACTCCATTTAAACATTAATGAGAATAAAACATCTTTCAATAAAGCTACATTTTTATCAATAAATTCACACAAGTTTTCTTATACAGAATCACTTGATTCTGAAAAATCAAGTCAATGTGAAGATAAGAAAAATGCTTAAAATTTGGCTCCTACAAGAAAGACTAAAAAAATTTATTACTAAATTAATTTAAGAGATTGTAATATGTTGACATTACACTTAAATATGCTAAAAATTAATAAAAATTCAAAATATAAAATCAGAAATTAAATGCCAATATCCAATCTGAAATATATGCAACATTAAGTTTCACTTTGAAACTTTTCACACAGGATGTTTTTTGAACACAAAATTTATTTACATAAAATTTCAATTGACAATGGTGAATGGTCTTCATTTGTTCTATATTTTGTTGTTTCAGTTTAGAAATAGCTTGTAGGTGCCATTTCCATGATGAAACGCTTTAGTTTTCAAGAGAAATTATGGTTCTTATATTTCAAGAGAAATTATGGTTTCTTCCACAAGTGCTTTCTAAAATCTGATTAGCAATTTAACCTTGCATTTAAACAATTTCTGGTTAAGATATCTGATTCAGTAAATTCATTGGCCTTCCATCAAATGATTTAATTAGAATGAGGTTATTTTAATGATTTGGGTGTATCTTTTTGGCTTTTCTGTGTATTCATTTGTGAACTTGACCATATAGGAAGATGCCACATCATGGTACACAAAACTGTTATCTTAGTCATTGGAATAATGTCTCTAGTTCTTTTTCCAGTAAAGGGAAAAGAACTAGAGATAAAGGGGTCAAAACATTCAAGTATATTTTAGTACAGTAGAACCTCGAAAACTCGGCCTAATGTGGACCGAAGGGTGGCTGAGTTTGTGAAAATGCCGGGTTATCGGGAATGGGGTTAAAAAAAATAAGTACAAGTGTTTCCTCAGAAAATAAACTGCCCAAATACCCTTAAACAAAGGCTTGGTAATANACAAAAAATAGTTTAAGAAGGAATAATTAAAAAAGTAAATTATTTCAGTTATCATAAATGCAATTTGTATTTTTTCTAGATTGTATATATTGTATTCTATATTTGTATTTGACTTACTAGACATCCAAAATTACATTTTAATTAGTATTACTATCTCTTAAGCATTTTGAATGATGGCTTCAGTCTACTTATCACTTTTTTCAAGTTTTATTACTTAACAATAATATTCATAAAAATTAGTTATCACAAAAATATGTTAATAGAAAATATACAATCTTTTCAAACAACATGTAAATTAATATGAATTTCTATTAATTAAATACAATGTTTAAAATAATTTTTTAGACTATTTGAAAGTTTTAAAAATAAAAAATTAGTTCATATTATTTCAACCATTATATACTTTGATTGGTGTGTGTGTGTAAAAAAAAAAAAAATACTTTCACCCATGAATTCTTGGGTTGATCCATTTACATGTATCAACCCAAGAATTTTGAAAAAAGTTGACATGAATTTTTTATCAGAAGCTATTTTATCATCAAAGAAATGATAAAAAGTTCAATGAGAAAATGTTAAAATGTGTATAATAGAATTTTTGATGATAGAAAACTAATTTTTAAAACTTAAGTCAAAAATAAATTTTTTATAACTTTAATTCTTAGAAATAGTAAACAATCTCTGATTAAAAACAATACTATCATTGGTTTTCAAATAAATGTAAAAAAGTAAAAAATGTGCCATTTTTGTATTTTATCTTCATACATACATATTTATTTATTTATTTTATTGCTTTTAATTATCATCACATGATGGTCAGATGGTTGAAGCATCTGACCATCAGCCCCCCCCATCCAGAGGGACTTGGAATAAAATCTAAATGATACAAACCCAAGAATTTTTGAGGAGTCTGTTCTAACTAGGTTAGACTTCAGCCAAAATCATGTTTGGCATCAAAAAAAGCCTGAGGGGGCGATTAGTAACAATTTATATTTTGGGGGCAAAAAAACAATTTTCTGTGATATAGTAAAACATTATATTAAGAATAATTAGATATTTTATTTGTTATATTGTACAATAATTAAACAAATAACATCATCCTAGTCACTAGTCTATTCAATGCAGTACGAATTTGGCGTTAGCCTTGTCCCTCGACATCAGAATTTTGTAGTGAAGGGGGCGATACTACGTAACGGTTTTATTCAAGGGGGCAACGATTCGTTAGAGGTTGAGAAACACTGAGTTAGATGAATTTGTTACTGTTCCTTAAAAATTGCTGTTGTGTTACATTACCTTATCAAACTGTAATTCTGCAGTTTGATAAGGTAATGTAACACAACAGCAATATGTCAAGGAAATTGATTCAGATGGGCTTTCTATAGAAAACTAAAAATAGCAATTTTATCAGTCTTGTTGCTCATTTCACAAAGCATGAATCAGATTGCTGACATAGTATCAGTGTCAATAATAGAAAAGATTCACTCTAGAACAAGCAGTGAAGATGAGCAAAAGTTTACATCATCAATAAAGCATTCAACGAACATTCTGGAATCAACAGCATTGGATTTGATTGTGTTGTGATTAGAACAACAACAAAGAAAAAAAATTCCATCAATTCCTAAATTATTTCCTGTCATAAGAGACTAATCTTCCTTGGAAGAAAAAGATGTGCCATATGAAATATTTTTCTTCTTCTGAAAACAGTCTTTCTGCATGTAAATATTCCCTTCCATATCTGGAAAAGCACCACCAATATTTCACAAATAGACTGGCCTAGTTTGCATATGCCTACCTATGTCGATAGGTCTTAGCTAAGTTGGCCAGATTGCAATACTTTATATTCCTTAACAACAAATTTATGCAAACAATTTTCAAAGATTCCAGAGTTTTTTAATAAGCAAAACTTTTTAAAAGTTTACTTAAGGACTCCAGGAAATTAAAAAATTAATATTTATAGTTAATAATAAATTAATAAAAATTATGTTAATAAAATAATATATTAACATAAAACTATATATTATAATTAAATAAAATTTTAAATAATACTAACATTTGTGGCATGTAAAGTACTATCCACAACTGCTTCTTCTCCTTCAGTTTCATCATTGGAATCTTCTTCTTTCACTTCTCCACAAATATCATCTTCCTATTGTTGTTAAAAAAGTTTTAGATAAATATAGTAATAATGAAATATTTAATTAGAATTTCAGACAATAAGTTAGTCAGATGACTTTCATTTAATTCTTTCTTCAACATTTTCTTTGTATTTTGATTTAAAAATTGTGTGAGACTATATAAATTAAAATCTATATTTATTACTACTATTTTTTTGTTTTGGGAATTTCTAGGACAAAAAATAGTTTAAGAAGGAATAATTAAAAAAGTAAATTATTTCAGTTATCATAAATGCAATTTGTATTTTTTCTAGATTGTATATATTGTATTCTATATTTGTATTTGACTTACTAGACATCCAAAATTACATTTTAATTAGTATTACTATCTCTTAAGCATTTTGAATGATGGCTTCAGTCTACTTATCACTTTTTTCAAGTTTTATTACTTAACAATAATATTCATAAAAATTAGTTATCACAAAAATATGTTAATAGAAAATATACAATCTTTTCAAACAACATGTAAATTAATATGAATTTCTATTAATTAAATACAATGTTTAAAATAATTTTTTAGACTATTTGAAAGTTTTAAAAATAAAAAATTAGTTCATATTATTTCAACCATTATATACTTTGATTGGTGTGTGTGTGTAAAAAAAAAAAAAATACTTTCACCCATGAATTCTTGGGTTGATCCATTTACATGTATCAACCCAAGAATTTTGAAAAAAGTTGACATGAATTTTTTATCAGAAGCTATTTTATCATCAAAGAAATGATAAAAAGTTCAATGAGAAAATGTTAAAATGTGTATAATAGAATTTTTGATGATAGAAAACTAATTTTTAAAACTTAAGTCAAAAATAAATTTTTTATAACTTTAATTCTTAGAAATAGTAAACAATCTCTGATTAAAAACAATACTATCATTGGTTTTCAAATAAATGTAAAAAAGTAAAAAATGTGCCATTTTTGTATTTTATCTTCATACATACATATTTATTTATTTATTTTATTGCTTTTAATTATCATCACATGATGGTCAGATGGTTGAAGCATCTGACCATCAGCCCCCCCCATCCAGAGGGACTTGGAATAAAATCTAAATGATACAAACCCAAGAATTTTTGAGGAGTCTGTTCTAACTAGGTTAGACTTCAGCCAAAATCATGTTTGGCATCAAAAAAAGCCATCTTAGAGGGTAAAAAAAATATTTTTTTAAATTTACAATTTTAAAATTTTATTTCTAACATAATTTTTTGTGTTTACAGTTAACTTGATTAAACTGCCTACATATTTTGATCCTAAATCTAAATTACAGTTTTAAAATTTAAAAATAAACTACGATTTCAAAAACAACTGTAACACAATTTAAACAACATTTGTATTCATTTGAAAAAAAAAAAAAAAAATACAATATAAGTTAAATAATATTTTGTGATATTACCATATTAAAAATTTTACAAATTTTAAATGATAAAAATCACATTATCCAGATTTATTATTATAAAGGATATATATAAAATAAAAATTTTTAGATAAAAAAAAATCATACCTCTTCATCAGATTCTTCAAACTGAACATTAACTCCATAAGTTTCATCAATATTTTCATCTGAAATTTGAAATAACAATTATATAGTTTAGTTAAAACTTGAAAAAAAAAAATTAAATGTAATTACCTTAACTTTCAACAAAGATTTTATATTAACTACATGAATATCATTCAACATAGTTAATGTTTCAGAGTTAGAAAACAGCTTTGTATTTAAAAATAATAAAATTTTTATACATAAATCAAGTTAGAATTATTTATTAATTTTACTACATTTATTTTTCAGAAATTATTGAAATGATTCTTAAAAATAAATAAATAAATAATAATTTGATGAATTTCTTTTTACTACTATTTTATAAATTTTATAAAGATTTTTAAGTTAAAAAATAAATAAATTTTTTCTTCTACAAATAGACAAAGTGTTCTGTAATAGACTGATAGACTCAGAAGTATGATGTTCTACTTCAAGCACATAACTATGTCTTTTTAGCATCAATTTCTAATTAATTTTATTGCTGTTATATTTTACAAAAATTGATTTTGGATTGTATATTTTTAATTTTATCTGTATNTATCATTACAATAATAAATTTAGTCCTTACCTGTTGTCTGTGCTTTTTCATCAACACCATAATCAGTTATTTTTTTGCACAAGTTAACTAGAACACCTCTTCATCAGATTCTTCAAACTGAACATTAACTCCATAAGTTTCATCAATATTTTCATCTGAAATTTGAAATAACAATTATATAGTTTAGTTAAAACTTGAAAAAAAAAAATTAAATGTAATTACCTTAACTTTCAACAAAGATTTTATATTAACTACATGAATATCATTCAACATAGTTAATGTTTCAGAGTTAGAAAACAGCTTTGTATTTAAAAATAATAAAATTTTTATACATAAATCAAGTTAGAATTATTTATTAATTTTACTACATTTATTTTTCAGAAATTATTGAAATGATTCTTAAAAATAAATAAATAAATAATAATTTGATGAATTTCTTTTTACTACTATTTTATAAATTTTATAAAGATTTTTAAGTTAAAAAATAAATAAATTTTTTCTTCTACAAATAGACAAAGTGTTCTGTAATAGACTGATAGACTCAGAAGTATGATGTTCTACTTCAAGCACATAACTATGTCTTTTTAGCATCAATTTCTAATTAATTTTATTGCTGTTATATTTTACAAAAATTGATTTTGGATTGTATATTTTTAATTTTATCTGTATATGTACTTGATGATAGTTATAAACAGAATCATCTTTAACAATATTTATTAAAGCTATAATCAGACAGGAATCATTCATAGATAAAACTGCTTTTACCATTGGAACTGGTTCTCAGTCTATGGGCTACATGGCTAGAAACTACATCATGAAAACTTTTGAAATATCAGCACTGAAAATCTGATCTTAGGAAAAACTTTAGCCATCTTAGCACTATGACTAAAGATCAAGTTCTCTCTCTCTAGAAACTGAAAGGTATTTTGTCTAGTCATGATTCTTTAGCTTCAGTTACTAATGTAATATCATAGTTCTTCTTTTGTAATTATTATGAATTACAGGTTTATTTTTAGGCATAGTACCTTCTGTACAATTTTATATTTTACATGTTAACTATTAATTTTCTCTGCTTATTTTATAAAATACAATGGGTGATCGGTTAACAAACAGTTCAGATAGCGAATAAATTGGATAATGAACACTTTTGCGAAAGATTTTTATGTTCGGACAACGAATACTTCACAGAACAAACACAAAAAGAAGAGACATAAAATAACAAATACTGACTGGTTTTCCCTTGTCTACAGGTAACAATTTGAAACCTTTTGGAGTGCAAGAGATGCTCAACCCAATACCAATCAGATATTATTCCCCCAAACTTTGAAACTCTCCATTGTAATTCCAGCCTTTTGTTTACCTTTCTGACAAAAAATTTTTTATAGGCTTTGCGAGACTGTTGAGCACTCGTTAAGTTTTAAGTTTTGCATCCATTTTTATTTCCTAAAGGTGAGAGTTTAACTGTCCTATCAGATATTCATTAATGGTTTAACAACAAAATTTCAAATTTCAAACAGGCCTCACATTTACATAATTCTTTAGAGTGCTAGTTGATTTCTGTTCACTGAATTTTTGTGAGTGCTTTTCTGAACTTTTTATTTCAAAAAGACATTGATAATATTATGAAGCCTAAAAAGAGTGGTGTGTCAAGAACCTTGCTCACCTTAGAAATCAAGCAAGAGATAATAGCCAAGGTGGAGAGTGAGCAAAAGATGTCTGATGATGCTAGGCAGTATGGTTTGAACAGTAGGATAGATGCTAGGCAGTATGGTTTGAACAGTACAGTAGGCACAATCTTAGCTATGAAAGATATAATCAAGAAGACTCGAGCAGCTTAAGAAGTAACAAAAATCACATCCGAGAAACAAAGATGTGCCATCTATGAAAAAATGGAGAGATTGCTTTTAGTTTCTTATTACATGTAAATAAACATAGTAAGAAAGTATATAATTTATTTATTTATTTTTTGGGGTTTCCAGAATGAATTAATCAAATTCACATAAAAATCTATGGTAAATCGGTAATTGATTAATGAACAAGCAAAGTCTTGAAACAGATTATGTTTGTTAACTGATCACCCACTGTACTTTAGTTCTGAATTTGCATATTAAATTTACACCATCAAATCACATTCTTCCTATGCTTTGGTCTCCTATATCAGAGCAGACTGAGGAGGAGCCCAGTTGCTTTTCCTTCTCTTGATGTCATCATACCCTTGTGTCGTAAGTATAGGATAAGTTAAATAACAAAATTAAAAAAAGCAATAAATGGCCATCCTTACATAGCTTATTATTCCAAGACTAAAAATTATTAATATGTATATTTAATTTATATTGATATGAGTCTGCAACTCATTAAATGTCTATAATAAACTTTCTTAATGGTCTGATCACAGTTTGGAATACACTGAGTATCAGCATCATAATGTAGAAATTGAATTTTGGTCATATTTTGAAATGAAAAAAATTTTTAAATACAAAGACTATTTGAGAAACAATAATCATTGTATTATATATACCATGTAGTAATATCATTACAATAATAAATTTAGTCCTTACCTGTTGTCTGTGCTTTTTCATCAACACCATAATCAGTTATTTTTTTGCACAAGTTAACTAGAACAGCATATCTTTCTTCAGCTAAACCACCAAGCAAAGCTTCAGTTTCTTTTCGGCGTTCTTTATCCTTGATCTTGTCATTCTTTAGTACAGCTAAAACTTCATCTGCTGCACCACATAAGACATCTCTTGGCTGTAAAAATAATTTAACTTAGTTAAGATTTTGATTACCTTTGTAATATTTATAACATTATTAATGCTTTAATTGTTTCAACAAAAATAAATGTGTTTTTCCATGCTGTATCTTTTTTGTGGTATTAAGATAGTATCACAGAAAAATAAATTTTGGTTTTAAAACTTATTTAAATATTACAATACAAAGGTATGAATTTTATTTAATATGCATGTTTATAGAATTAAATATTGAATATGAACATTGATTTATATAACATTTTTTCTGGATTTGATAAAAATTTTTTATTAGAATTTTTAGAAATTCAATTATAATTTCTGAACAATACTCATCATCATGTAAGTTATATTATCATCAAAATTGTCTTATGTTTCACCGACATTTTTTCATAGCATAATTTATTTTAATTTTAGTATAAGTTTACTTTATACCAGAATTGTACTAAATATAAAAGTAAAATATATTTCTTGAAAAGAAAAAATGTCATTTTCTATTAAAAACAGAATAATGAAGCAAATTTTATTTATGGGTTATACTAATGCTGAGTAGTGTTATAGAATTTAATACTACTCAAAAATACAGAATTAAGAATTTCAAATCTGCTTGCTTTTATATATCATTATTTTTCCATAAAAAAGTTGTTATACCATTACTGTATAAAAATATAAGATACAATCATTTAAAAATTGAACATACATGATTGTAGAAATGTAACAGTGTTCCCAAAGAGATTTGTCTCATGGAAAGAAAGTTAGTACCTGACAACCTATCATAGCCATCACATAATGTATCCCATGACGCATAGTACATGCAAACACCACTGGTGGCAGTGTACTCACTGTCCAATCATCAAAATGAAAATCAGTAAAGACAAGCATCATGATATTCTGCATTTTTAACAACATGTATTGGAAGCAGGTAGATGAATAAACAAATGGAAGCAAAGTATTGTGATTATTGCATCATTGGAAACATGCTGACTTCCCACTACCAAAGAAGTCCAAGGCAGACAGAACAATGCGAGTAAGATAATGACGACATTGTTTTTTGATCAATATGGGCAACTTACTCATCATTGAGTTCCTGAAGAAATGAGAAACTGTAAATGATGACTGCTATGTCAAGACATTCATATAGTTGCAGTAGGTAATAAAGTCAAAATGCCTTAAGTTGCTCTCAAGGATAAAAATGATATCCTTGTCCAAGACAATGTCCAACTGCACACTGCCAATATTGTCTGTGCTACATTGCAGAAATATAGATGTGGAGTGCTCATGCAATCTTCTTAGAGTCCTGAACATGTCTCTGTACGATTTTCACGTATTTGGGTAGTTAAATTGTGTCCATAAAGTATGACAATTTCAATCAGACAATGACATGAAGGCTGCATTCAACAATGGTTCCAGCAGCAACACAGAGAATTCTTCTACAGGAGCACTCTTTGTCTAGTTTCACAGTGAGATAAGTGTCTCAACAGATGCAGCAACTACATATAGCTGACTCAGCTCAGAGTGATTTTCTATCATATGCTCGGTTTTTGAATGACTGTCTCTTATACACTTTTAATACAAACACAGTCATTCAAAATCAAGAATCAGAATAGTACTTTTGCAAGATAAACTTATAAATCTGGATTTAGCTAGTCAAAATGTATGAAAAATATTAGTGTTGAACTGAATGTTTAGCATTATTTTGTATTTGGTATGCAGACTGAATTATTCAGCCAGTTTGACAGAGAGTAAAGATGAATAGAGCAATTAACTGGCAATGATGGAGTGAGATTGGATGATAAATGAATGAATAGTAAAAACTCTAATTTTTTTTTTTTAGAGTTTTTACTACCAGTTAATCATTACTAGTTAAATGCTCTATTTGTCTTTACTCTCTGTCATGCTGATGAGGGGCTTGCATATTTGACAACACCAATAAACAATAAAGAAACCTCTTAAACAGTAAATTTGTGACTCCTTGTATGATTGGATCCCATAAGTGTGTCACAATTTCTGTATATACACTCGATTTATATATTTATATAAAGTTTATTAAGATCTTATCACTTATTGAAAAAATACTAGTTTAAAAGATTCATTTATTTTGATTTACTTTGACAAATCTGGTTGCAATGGTAATCATAGACTTTAATTTCTAGTTTAACAAATATTATAGATAATAGATTCTGTTTTACTGTGATTATTTTGGGATCTACTTAAAATAAAAACAATATCTAAAAGATTAATTTTAACTGATTAAATAAAATTTCAACAACTACAAAAAAATAAAATTAAAAGTTGTTATAATCCAAATTTTACATAAATTCACTTATTTCAAAACATTACAAATAAGAATAAAAATTTTCATATACAGATTGAATAATGTACTATAATAAATTCAATTTACAAACCTGATCGCCTAATGCCTCTTGAATAAAACTCAATAATATTTCATATGTTTGTCTGGTTTCTGTAGTTTTTGGACGATATAAAATTCCTACCATATCTTCAATGCCTTCTGATAGAAGACTTTGACCTTTTAGCTTTGCAAGGTCATATCTAGTTTCTTCTCGTTTCTGTCGTCTAAAATGTTACAAACATCATTAAAATTTAATAAATAATAAAATTATTATTAAGGAAAAACTAATTATTATATGGAAATTTAGATATTGTACAATCTACATTAAATGATAAAAATTCCAGAAAATAGAGTACAGGTATAAATTTTGATCATGATCACATAGATGTGAAACTATATGAAAAATATCATATTTGAGTCTTTTTTATATGAGAGAGTATTATTTTTCTTTTTTGCTTATGAAGAATCAGTTCAACACAATATATGAGTAAATAATTCATATAATTCACAATATGATACTAAACATTTTTATTTGAAAAATTAATAAAAGCACTTTCATTTGAATAAATAAATCAAATGTGTGAATTCAATTAATTTTTTTTGTTTCAGGAACAATAAATTGTGTTAAAGTGATTTTTCCACAGGAAAAGTTAAGTTATTAAAAAAACTGTAAATTATAATATTATAAATATTTAAAACTTTCAAATGTGCACATTCNTTTCCATTTTTAAACTTTCAATATTGCATTTTATATTAAGATAGTTTTATTTTATTTAAAAAATGATCTGAAATGTTGAAAGTTTTGAAATTGGAACAATAAATTTAGATTCTAATATATCCAAACAAAAACATCTGATATATAAAAAACTGTACCAAGTAAAAATTATAACAATTTAGACGACAATCAAATTTTTTAATCGGTGCAATTTTTTTATATCTTAAATGTTTTTGTTTGGATATCAAATGTTTTGGTTAATGATTTTTATATAACAGATGTTTAATATTTATATTGTATTACATAGATGTCAGTACATTAATACAATAAAGTCATAAAAACAATGCAGTGTAGAAATGATATTATTTATGCTAAGTTATTTATGTTTATGGATTAACATATTTCAGATTGTATTATATCAAGACCTAAAATGATCATGTACTGAACAGTTTGGTCATTGCTTGATGATAGCTGCCAATTAAACACTTTCAATATGCCATTAGTAAAATCATTATAAAAAGTTTTAATTCACATAAATTTGAGTTTTTGTTACTCAATAACATTTTGAATAAAAATCATTTGTTTCAATTTTATCCTTATTAGCATAAAATTAAGCAATAAAAATAAAATAACTCTATGGGAAACTTCTGTGAACTTTGACCTACTGACCCTAAAGTTTTGCAAGCATCTCACTGATAATGAGTGGGGCTTAAGTTTAAAATTTGAGTATTCTAGACCCAGTAGCTTTTTCTCTACAAGTGTCTGCAATGCCAGATAAAGAAAACCAACAATAACACCGCTTTTTTGGCAATTTTTTCACTTTTCAATTGATTGTATTTTGGCAACTCTTTTATAGAAAAAAATCCAGCAATAAATCATTTAACTTTCCTTGCAACATTTAGTAGTGCCATCTGTTATATTTTATTAAAAAACTTTTTATTTTTAACTATTATAAAATGACAAAAAGCTTAATTTTGATGGTAGGAATAGGTTTTATAAAAAATTGTAAATGCTAATAAGTAAAATCGTCATCAAGTCTAATCCTACTGCAGATACACACAAACCCCTTTACCTTTTACCAAAATTTAATAGCATCTATCTCCTAATAAGCAAACCTCTCTGCAAAATTTCAGAAATTTTCAACAAAAAGCACAGGCATTATTAAGTTTCAAAGAGAGTGAACAAAATCATGCTACTCACCCACCAACAGCCATATATACAAAAACCCCTAATTTATTTATTTATTTTTTGCATTTCTCAATGCTTCAAGGTCCCGAGTCCAAAAATGTAAAAATCTGGGAAGGGGTCATCATCATACTTTCCCTGTTATACATAACAGCCAAGAAAGTAAAAATTTGAAATTTTGCATACTATCCAGGAAGAAAATTATCTTTTGAACAATATACAGTAGAGCATCGATTATCCAACTCAATTGGGGACTCAGGTTGGTCGGATAACTGAAAAAATTGGATAACCAAAAAGAATGAAAAAAATACATCATCAGTATAGTATATCCCATGTAATTAGTATATCGCCATTAACCAACTTTGCGTTGAATTTTCATCAATATTAAGCCTAACAAATTTTTTTTCAAATAATAATCATTGCTGTTGTATTGTTAATTATTTTTAAATTATTTTATTGCTCACAAAACAAACCACCACTCATAATTAGAAAATTAAGTCTCATTTAAATACCTGCCTCCCTTCAATGGTTGAGCTGGCGTTGCCAGCTAAAACACGCAAAAATTTAACAAAAATAATATTAAAGTAGCCAAGACATAGCCAAATATTGTAGTGCCACATCACTAGCGGACATTTGAAATTTGCTGACTAGAACGGTCGGTTAACCGATGTGACGATTAATCGGGGGTTGGATAATCGATGCTCTACTGTATTCTGAATTCTTGTGTGTATATTATATACAGTGTAGGGCAGGGGTGTCCAACCTTTTTGTTTCTCTGGGCCGCATTGGAAGAAGTCAAGGAGTTTTGGGCCACAAGTACTGTACATATAATATATACTTGTGGCCCAATATACAAGTATATTTAAGGATTAACACATCTAGATTATAATAATAAGTATTAAAACTTTATCAAGAAAAAGGATATTTTAAAAATTACTTCTACAGACACTTTCAATTTTTACTTAGAAACAAATGGAATTTTATTTGAAAAACACAAATATTTGTTATATTTGGGTCTCTAATTAATAAAAAGCGACGAAACACCATTTTAAAGTGCATTTTTATTCAACTAATATAATTATAAATAATATGTAGCCCAAAAAGTAGCCAAAGTGCCAAATGATATTTTTTACGTCAAACAAAAAAAGTAGCCACATTTGGTGCAATGTAGCCAAATCTTGCAACGTTGGAAAAAATACTAAATAAAGCTGTAGTTGTGAATCAAAGGATTATAGACCCAAGTGCAGGGAAAGGACAAAAGATAAAAAAGTGAGAAAGGTTGGAAAATTAAGGGTCAACAGAAGCTCTATTTAACCTTTCTCACTACTACATCTTTTGTTTTTTCTCATCTTTCCCTCCTTTTCCCAAATTTGGGTCTATAATCCTTTGAGTCACAACTCCNACCCTTAAACAAAGGAAAAGTACGTCCTTTATGAAGGCATAGAGCCTTTACTACATGAAAATGAAAATTAATGAATACACTGTGTACAGTAATTTGCCTGATAAGACAGACCTCAGAAAAATACTTTATGAGACCTTTTATACTTTTATAAAGCTGTCTATAATAAAAATTAATTAACTAAGGATTTTTTTGCCCTGCCAGGGTGTGGCCGAGTTATCGAGAGCCGCGTTTTCGAGGTTCTACTGTATTGACTTTGGCATTTTGGAGTACTTTGTTCAATGGCAAAGTACTGTACTATGCATTGCACCAATCACCATCAACTTGTTTGAGAATTTCTCTTTCTTTAGGTGCAAACTTTTCTGACACCACTGCAGTCTTGTCTAAAGTGACAACATACTCTAATTTCTGACCTGCTAAATGATTCTCATAAAGCTGATGCAAGTGGTCACAATTTACCTTATGGGTCTTGTTAAGCCCACGAAGTTTGGTCTTCCATCTTGTTACTCAGTCCTATTCATTGTGGATAAAGTGGTTAACTGTAGAAACACTCAAATTTAACTGCTTGGCCATTTTTCTTTGACTAGGAGGGATTTGCTTAGAGACCATTTTTTCAACCAATGATTTTATTACTAATTGCATTTACACTGAGGTGTTCACTATCTCTCTGAAGAAAGTTGTCTTCTGGATTACCCTTACTTAGATCAATTTTGAACCATATTTTTGTCCGAGAGAAGTCCAATTTAGTAAATAATTTTAAATAGAGGTATAAAATAATCCTCCAAAGTTTTGAAGAGTAGTTACAATAACAAGTTCAGTTAGATCAGTGTTTCTCAACGGGGGCAAAATCGTCCCTATGTGGGCATTTTTCCATGTTGAGGGGGCGATTAGTAACAATTTATATTTTGGGGGCAAAAAAACAATTTTCTGTGATATAGTAAAACATTATATTAAGAATAATTAGATATTTTATTTGTTATATTGTACAATAATTAAACAAATAACATCATCCTAGTCACTAGTCTATTCAATGCAGTACGAATTTGGCGTTAGCCTTGTCCCTCGACATCAGAATTTTGTAGTGAAGGGGGCGATACTACGTAACGGTTTTATTCAAGGGGGCAACGATTCGTTAGAGGTTGAGAAACACTGAGTTAGATGAATTTGTTACTGTTCCTTAAAAATTGCTGTTGTGTTACATTACCTTATCAAACTGTAATTCTGCAGTTTGATAAGGTAATGTAACACAACAGCAATATGTCAAGGAAATTGATTCAGATGGGCTTTCTATAGAAAACTAAAAATAGCAATTTTATCAGTCTTGTTGCTCATTTCACAAAGCATGAATCAGATTGCTGACATAGTATCAGTGTCAATAATAGAAAAGATTCACTCTAGAACAAGCAGTGAAGATGAGCAAAAGTTTACATCATCAATAAAGCATTCAACGAACATTCTGGAATCAACAGCATTGGATTTGATTGTGTTGTGATTAGAACAACAACAAAGAAAAAAAATTCCATCAATTCCTAAATTATTTCCTGTCATAAGAGACTAATCTTCCTTGGAAGAAAAAGATGTGCCATATGAAATATTTTTCTTCTTCTGAAAACAGTCTTTCTGCATGTAAATATTCCCTTCCATATCTGGAAAAGCACCACCAATATTTCACAAATAGACTGGCCTAGTTTGCATATGCCTACCTATGTCGATAGGTCTTAGCTAAGTTGGCCAGATTGCAATACTTTATATTCCTTAACAACAAATTTATGCAAACAATTTTCAAAGATTCCAGAGTTTTTTAATAAGCAAAACTTTTTAAAAGTTTACTTAAGGACTCCAGGAAATTAAAAAATTAATATTTATAGTTAATAATAAATTAATAAAAATTATGTTAATAAAATAATATATTAACATAAAACTATATATTATAATTAAATAAAATTTTAAATAATACTAACATTTGTGGCATGTAAAGTACTATCCACAACTGCTTCTTCTCCTTCAGTTTCATCATTGGAATCTTCTTCTTTCACTTCTCCACAAATATCATCTTCCTATTGTTGTTAAAAAAGTTTTAGATAAATATAGTAATAATGAAATATTTAATTAGAATTTCAGACAATAAGTTAGTCAGATGACTTTCATTTAATTCTTTCTTCAACATTTTCTTTGTATTTTGATTTAAAAATTGTGTGAGACTATATAAATTAAAATCTATATTTATTACTACTATTTTTTTGTTTTGGGAATTTCTAGGACAAAAAATAGTTTAAGAAGGAATAATTAAAAAAGTAAATTATTTCAGTTATCATAAATGCAATTTGTATTTTTTCTAGATTGTATATATTGTATTCTATATTTGTATTTGACTTACTAGACATCCAAAATTACATTTTAATTAGTATTACTATCTCTTAAGCATTTTGAATGATGGCTTCAGTCTACTTATCACTTTTTTCAAGTTTTATTACTTAACAATAATATTCATAAAAATTAGTTATCACAAAAATATGTTAATAGAAAATATACAATCTTTTCAAACAACATGTAAATTAATATGAATTTCTATTAATTAAATACAATGTTTAAAATAATTTTTTAGACTATTTGAAAGTTTTAAAAATAAAAAATTAGTTCATATTATTTCAACCATTATATACTTTGATTGGTGTGTGTGTGTAAAAAAAAAAAAAATACTTTCACCCATGAATTCTTGGGTTGATCCATTTACATGTATCAACCCAAGAATTTTGAAAAAAGTTGACATGAATTTTTTATCAGAAGCTATTTTATCATCAAAGAAATGATAAAAAGTTCAATGAGAAAATGTTAAAATGTGTATAATAGAATTTTTGATGATAGAAAACTAATTTTTAAAACTTAAGTCAAAAATAAATTTTTTATAACTTTAATTCTTAGAAATAGTAAACAATCTCTGATTAAAAACAATACTATCATTGGTTTTCAAATAAATGTAAAAAAGTAAAAAATGTGCCATTTTTGTATTTTATCTTCATACATACATATTTATTTATTTATTTTATTGCTTTTAATTATCATCACATGATGGTCAGATGGTTGAAGCATCTGACCATCAGCCCCCCCCATCCAGAGGGACTTGGAATAAAATCTAAATGATACAAACCCAAGAATTTTTGAGGAGTCTGTTCTAACTAGGTTAGACTTCAGCCAAAATCATGTTTGGCATCAAAAAAAGCCATCTTAGAGGGTAAAAAAAATATTTTTTTAAATTTACAATTTTAAAATTTTATTTCTAACATAATTTTTTGTGTTTACAGTTAACTTGATTAAACTGCCTACATATTTTGATCCTAAATCTAAATTACAGTTTTAAAATTTAAAAATAAACTACGATTTCAAAAACAACTGTAACACAATTTAAACAACATTTGTATTCATTTGAAAAAAAAAAAAAAAAATACAATATAAGTTAAATAATATTTTGTGATATTACCATATTAAAAATTTTACAAATTTTAAATGATAAAAATCACATTATCCAGATTTATTATTATAAAGGATATATATAAAATAAAAATTTTTAGATAAAAAAAAATCATACCTCTTCATCAGATTCTTCAAACTGAACATTAACTCCATAAGTTTCATCAATATTTTCATCTGAAATTTGAAATAACAATTATATAGTTTAGTTAAAACTTGAAAAAAAAAAATTAAATGTAATTACCTTAACTTTCAACAAAGATTTTATATTAACTACATGAATATCATTCAACATAGTTAATGTTTCAGAGTTAGAAAACAGCTTTGTATTTAAAAATAATAAAATTTTTATACATAAATCAAGTTAGAATTATTTATTAATTTTACTACATTTATTTTTCAGAAATTATTGAAATGATTCTTAAAAATAAATAAATAAATAATAATTTGATGAATTTCTTTTTACTACTATTTTATAAATTTTATAAAGATTTTTAAGTTAAAAAATAAATAAATTTTTTCTTCTACAAATAGACAAAGTGTTCTGTAATAGACTGATAGACTCAGAAGTATGATGTTCTACTTCAAGCACATAACTATGTCTTTTTAGCATCAATTTCTAATTAATTTTATTGCTGTTATATTTTACAAAAATTGATTTTGGATTGTATATTTTTAATTTTATCTGTATATGTACTTGATGATAGTTATAAACAGAATCATCTTTAACAATATTTATTAAAGCTATAATCAGACAGGAATCATTCATAGATAAAACTGCTTTTACCATTGGAACTGGTTCTCAGTCTATGGGCTACATGGCTAGAAACTACATCATGAAAACTTTTGAAATATCAGCACTGAAAATCTGATCTTAGGAAAAACTTTAGCCATCTTAGCACTATGACTAAAGATCAAGTTCTCTCTCTCTAGAAACTGAAAGGTATTTTGTCTAGTCATGATTCTTTAGCTTCAGTTACTAATGTAATATCATAGTTCTTCTTTTGTAATTATTATGAATTACAGGTTTATTTTTAGGCATAGTACCTTCTGTACAATTTTATATTTTACATGTTAACTATTAATTTTCTCTGCTTATTTTATAAAATACAATGGGTGATCGGTTAACAAACAGTTCAGATAGCGAATAAATTGGATAATGAACACTTTTGCGAAAGATTTTTATGTTCGGACAACGAATACTTCACAGAACAAACACAAAAAGAAGAGACATAAAATAACAAATACTGACTGGTTTTCCCTTGTCTACAGGTAACAATTTGAAACCTTTTGGAGTGCAAGAGATGCTCAACCCAATACCAATCAGATATTATTCCCCCAAACTTTGAAACTCTCCATTGTAATTCCAGCCTTTTGTTTACCTTTCTGACAAAAAATTTTTTATAGGCTTTGCGAGACTGTTGAGCACTCGTTAAGTTTTAAGTTTTGCATCCATTTTTATTTCCTAAAGGTGAGAGTTTAACTGTCCTATCAGATATTCATTAATGGTTTAACAACAAAATTTCAAATTTCAAACAGGCCTCACATTTACATAATTCTTTAGAGTGCTAGTTGATTTCTGTTCACTGAATTTTTGTGAGTGCTTTTCTGAACTTTTTATTTCAAAAAGACATTGATAATATTATGAAGCCTAAAAAGAGTGGTGTGTCAAGAACCTTGCTCACCTTAGAAATCAAGCAAGAGATAATAGCCAAGGTGGAGAGTGAGCAAAAGATGTCTGATGATGCTAGGCAGTATGGTTTGAACAGTAGGATAGATGCTAGGCAGTATGGTTTGAACAGTACAGTAGGCACAATCTTAGCTATGAAAGATATAATCAAGAAGACTCGAGCAGCTTAAGAAGTAACAAAAATCACATCCGAGAAACAAAGATGTGCCATCTATGAAAAAATGGAGAGATTGCTTTTAGTTTCTTATTACATGTAAATAAACATAGTAAGAAAGTATATAATTTATTTATTTATTTTTTGGGGTTTCCAGAATGAATTAATCAAATTCACATAAAAATCTATGGTAAATCGGTAATTGATTAATGAACAAGCAAAGTCTTGAAACAGATTATGTTTGTTAACTGATCACCCACTGTACTTTAGTTCTGAATTTGCATATTAAATTTACACCATCAAATCACATTCTTCCTATGCTTTGGTCTCCTATATCAGAGCAGACTGAGGAGGAGCCCAGTTGCTTTTCCTTCTCTTGATGTCATCATACCCTTGTGTCGTAAGTATAGGATAAGTTAAATAACAAAATTAAAAAAAGCAATAAATGGCCATCCTTACATAGCTTATTATTCCAAGACTAAAAATTATTAATATGTATATTTAATTTATATTGATATGAGTCTGCAACTCATTAAATGTCTATAATAAACTTTCTTAATGGTCTGATCACAGTTTGGAATACACTGAGTATCAGCATCATAATGTAGAAATTGAATTTTGGTCATATTTTGAAATGAAAAAAATTTTTAAATACAAAGACTATTTGAGAAACAATAATCATTGTATTATATATACCATGTAGTAATATCATTACAATAATAAATTTAGTCCTTACCTGTTGTCTGTGCTTTTTCATCAACACCATAATCAGTTATTTTTTTGCACAAGTTAACTAGAACAGCATATCTTTCTTCAGCTAAACCACCAAGCAAAGCTTCAGTTTCTTTTCGGCGTTCTTTATCCTTGATCTTGTCATTCTTTAGTACAGCTAAAACTTCATCTGCTGCACCACATAAGACATCTCTTGGCTGTAAAAATAATTTAACTTAGTTAAGATTTTGATTACCTTTGTAATATTTATAACATTATTAATGCTTTAATTGTTTCAACAAAAATAAATGTGTTTTTCCATGCTGTATCTTTTTTGTGGTATTAAGATAGTATCACAGAAAAATAAATTTTGGTTTTAAAACTTATTTAAATATTACAATACAAAGGTATGAATTTTATTTAATATGCATGTTTATAGAATTAAATATTGAATATGAACATTGATTTATATAACATTTTTTCTGGATTTGATAAAAATTTTTTATTAGAATTTTTAGAAATTCAATTATAATTTCTGAACAATACTCATCATCATGTAAGTTATATTATCATCAAAATTGTCTTATGTTTCACCGACATTTTTTCATAGCATAATTTATTTTAATTTTAGTATAAGTTTACTTTATACCAGAATTGTACTAAATATAAAAGTAAAATATATTTCTTGAAAAGAAAAAATGTCATTTTCTATTAAAAACAGAATAATGAAGCAAATTTTATTTATGGGTTATACTAATGCTGAGTAGTGTTATAGAATTTAATACTACTCAAAAATACAGAATTAAGAATTTCAAATCTGCTTGCTTTTATATATCATTATTTTTCCATAAAAAAGTTGTTATACCATTACTGTATAAAAATATAAGATACAATCATTTAAAAATTGAACATACATGATTGTAGAAATGTAACAGTGTTCCCAAAGAGATTTGTCTCATGGAAAGAAAGTTAGTACCTGACAACCTATCATAGCCATCACATAATGTATCCCATGACGCATAGTACATGCAAACACCACTGGTGGCAGTGTACTCACTGTCCAATCATCAAAATGAAAATCAGTAAAGACAAGCATCATGATATTCTGCATTTTTAACAACATGTATTGGAAGCAGGTAGATGAATAAACAAATGGAAGCAAAGTATTGTGATTATTGCATCATTGGAAACATGCTGACTTCCCACTACCAAAGAAGTCCAAGGCAGACAGAACAATGCGAGTAAGATAATGACGACATTGTTTTTTGATCAATATGGGCAACTTACTCATCATTGAGTTCCTGAAGAAATGAGAAACTGTAAATGATGACTGCTATGTCAAGACATTCATATAGTTGCAGTAGGTAATAAAGTCAAAATGCCTTAAGTTGCTCTCAAGGATAAAAATGATATCCTTGTCCAAGACAATGTCCAACTGCACACTGCCAATATTGTCTGTGCTACATTGCAGAAATATAGATGTGGAGTGCTCATGCAATCTTCTTAGAGTCCTGAACATGTCTCTGTACGATTTTCACGTATTTGGGTAGTTAAATTGTGTCCATAAAGTATGACAATTTCAATCAGACAATGACATGAAGGCTGCATTCAACAATGGTTCCAGCAGCAACACAGAGAATTCTTCTACAGGAGCACTCTTTGTCTAGTTTCACAGTGAGATAAGTGTCTCAACAGATGCAGCAACTACATATAGCTGACTCAGCTCAGAGTGATTTTCTATCATATGCTCGGTTTTTGAATGACTGTCTCTTATACACTTTTAATACAAACACAGTCATTCAAAATCAAGAATCAGAATAGTACTTTTGCAAGATAAACTTATAAATCTGGATTTAGCTAGTCAAAATGTATGAAAAATATTAGTGTTGAACTGAATGTTTAGCATTATTTTGTATTTGGTATGCAGACTGAATTATTCAGCCAGTTTGACAGAGAGTAAAGATGAATAGAGCAATTAACTGGCAATGATGGAGTGAGATTGGATGATAAATGAATGAATAGTAAAAACTCTAATTTTTTTTTTTTAGAGTTTTTACTACCAGTTAATCATTACTAGTTAAATGCTCTATTTGTCTTTACTCTCTGTCATGCTGATGAGGGGCTTGCATATTTGACAACACCAATAAACAATAAAGAAACCTCTTAAACAGTAAATTTGTGACTCCTTGTATGATTGGATCCCATAAGTGTGTCACAATTTCTGTATATACACTCGATTTATATATTTATATAAAGTTTATTAAGATCTTATCACTTATTGAAAAAATACTAGTTTAAAAGATTCATTTATTTTGATTTACTTTGACAAATCTGGTTGCAATGGTAATCATAGACTTTAATTTCTAGTTTAACAAATATTATAGATAATAGATTCTGTTTTACTGTGATTATTTTGGGATCTACTTAAAATAAAAACAATATCTAAAAGATTAATTTTAACTGATTAAATAAAATTTCAACAACTACAAAAAAATAAAATTAAAAGTTGTTATAATCCAAATTTTACATAAATTCACTTATTTCAAAACATTACAAATAAGAATAAAAATTTTCATATACAGATTGAATAATGTACTATAATAAATTCAATTTACAAACCTGATCGCCTAATGCCTCTTGAATAAAACTCAATAATATTTCATATGTTTGTCTGGTTTCTGTAGTTTTTGGACGATATAAAATTCCTACCATATCTTCAATGCCTTCTGATAGAAGACTTTGACCTTTTAGCTTTGCAAGGTCATATCTAGTTTCTTCTCGTTTCTGTCGTCTAAAATGTTACAAACATCATTAAAATTTAATAAATAATAAAATTATTATTAAGGAAAAACTAATTATTATATGGAAATTTAGATATTGTACAATCTACATTAAATGATAAAAATTCCAGAAAATAGAGTACAGGTATAAATTTTGATCATGATCACATAGATGTGAAACTATATGAAAAATATCATATTTGAGTCTTTTTTATATGAGAGAGTATTATTTTTCTTTTTTGCTTATGAAGAATCAGTTCAACACAATATATGAGTAAATAATTCATATAATTCACAATATGATACTAAACATTTTTATTTGAAAAATTAATAAAAGCACTTTCATTTGAATAAATAAATCAAATGTGTGAATTCAATTAATTTTTTTTGTTTCAGGAACAATAAATTGTGTTAAAGTGATTTTTCCACAGGAAAAGTTAAGTTATTAAAAAAACTGTAAATTATAATATTATAAATATTTAAAACTTTCAAATGTGCACATTCAATTTTTTTTCAATTTAGATTCAATCAAAGAGGATTAATTTGTGTGTTTAAATGAAAATACTTTTAGTATTTTTTGGACAATTCTAATTAGAACAAATACACTATTTATACTTGATATAAACAGAAATAAAAACCTCAGTAATAATTTCTAGTTTAATGTTCACAGCTTGTACTCATCTACAATATCTTCAAGTCTTAAAATTTGTGAGTCTAAGTATCATATATACTAATGTATAAGACAAGAACCAAATTTCAGTCTGTATTCCATGTGTGGTGGCTCTTATTAATTGTACAAAATAAGCACATCTTAAATAACTTAACTTCAGTAATAAATTTTAATGGATCAAAATAAAAATTTAAACTCAAAGAAAATAATAAAATAACATAATACATAAGATAACAATAAATACAAAAATATAAACAATATAATGTAAACAAAGTAAAAGTACATACAACATTGTAGGACTAAGCAAAATTTAGGAGTTTTTACAATGATTTTCATGCTGTCAATAGAGGCAGTGTCCTTGTGATTGATACAGTACCATTTATTTTCTTTATGAATTATATGTATTTTATTCATGTTTGTCATTAGATTATTTATAGTGATGAGATGGTACCTTCCCTTGATTCCATTTCTGCTGAAAACTCCTGATTCTAATTCCTTTAAATACTTTCTAAATTTTAGTTTAGAACTAAACTAAACTTTAGAAAAATTAATGATTTATGTTATGAGCATGGTCCATTGATTAATTAATAAACAAGCTTAATAATGAAAAATGATTGGAAAAACCAGAATCAATATTTCAAAAGAAACCCAAAAATTTTCCATTTATATATGGATATGCATGCTTTTGTTGTGTTCTACACAACAAAAACATGCATAACCATTTATAAATGGAAGCTAAGAATAATATTTTTGTATAGTGCAGCTGATGGGATAGTTTTTTGAATAAAAGGGAATTAACTAATTCCCTTTTATTCAAAAAACTATCTTATGAACTACTCATGCTATCATTGGGGTAGGGAGAAGGTAAATGAGAAGATGCACTTCTTTTTTTCCCAAGCTTATCACAATCAGCATTCATCTTAAATATTTTAATTCCATTGTATTTAACACTAAATGATGTTCAGTAAATGGTGCAATGAGCTGAATAAATATCACCATCATTAAGAGTTAATCAATTTTTGAATTCATCCACTTGAACCCAGATTTCTCTAAATGTATACTTGTGTGAACTTTTCTTCAAAGAAAAAAAATCAGATGAATATTTAGACTTATTCATCTTGAAAAAATCAATTTATAAAACTCAAAATAACAGTAAACTTAGCACAAACAAGTATTTTTACTTAGAATCAAGTGAATTACATTTAAAAATTTAATGTAGTACAGGCATCATGTGTGAATCATAACAACTTTCATAATTTTAACAAGAAAGTCATCTATCCTATTGTTATAAGTAAACTTACTGAATATTAAAAATAATTTTATATAATATTTTTTCAATTAAAATATAATTTTGCTTATATTTTAAACCATTTCACTGACATTTAAATATTTTTGCCAACCACCAGCTTTGATTTAAAATTACCGGTCAAGCTGACTCAATGTCACTCTGTCGCTTTTAAAATGGGAACAGTTAGTATTGACCACGTGCAACTTCTCATTGCACTAACTACATGAAAGAAAAGTCCTCCAAGACAAACATCACCCCATGTATGGGGGTTTCACATACTCTCTGCTTTATCAACACAAAAGTTTCCAATAAACTAATACTTAATCGTTAATATCGTAAATTTAATCTTCAACCAAAACAAATAATGTTATTATTAAATATGGAAGAATCATTTTAGGAATCAGAAACTGTGATGAATTTGCTCAATTTTTCCAATTCTGATTAATTGTCTCATCACTAGTTATTTATATTTTTATTTCTGTTTAGTTTAAATTTTATGCATGTTCTATTTTATTTAGGACGCTTTGTGTTCTTTTTCATTTAGATTTTATATTGTTCCAAATGATGAACACCTAAAAACTTATTCTTTAAAGCTGGAACTTTTTTTCAAAAGATTGATATTAAACTGTCCTTTTTGCATGTTTTTAGCACTTCAGATATAAATGAGAAGCAAATGTTTTCAGTCTCTTTCAGGAATCAGCGTCATTTTATCAAAGCTAAAAACTCTCCAATAAAAAGCTGGTCTCTGAAAAAGGTCGAAAACATTTGCTTCTCATTCATATCTGAAGTGTTAAAAATGTACAAAAAAGGTCAGTTTAATAGCAATGTTTTTCAAGAAGACCTATATGACTAGGTTTGAAAATGTGTTTGGTCCATTAAATTTATTACTAAATAAAATAAATCCCACCTTTATCTATCCAGCAATAAATATGTAATAATATAAAAACATTTTTATATTATTAAATATTTATTGCTGGATAGATAAAGGTGGAATTTATTTTATTTATTCAAATTCCAGTAGATTTTATTTTTGAATTTATTACTACAGTTATTAAAGGTATGCTTATTTCATTCAGTTACTTATCCAGTTTTGGAAATTCTTGTGTGTCTTATTGGTTTTATAAAATGACCCTCCAAAATTCTAAACCTACAGATCAAAATCAAACTTGAGGTTAGGCTACAGCTCCATTTATAATATTATTCAAAATTATAAAAGTAAGAATTTTAAATCTGCTTGTTTTTATGTATTATAATATCATTATTTTTCCATAAACAAGTTATTCTACTATTATTCTATCAAAACACAAATAAAAACTATTCTGATCAACCAGCTCAACCTAAAATATTATTCTGATCAACAGAATAGTATTTTTGCAAGGGCCTATAAATCTGGATTTAGCTAAAGCCAAAATGTATAAAAAGTACTAATTTTCACTAACTGTACTACTATTAAACTAATTATAAAATTAATTATGTCACCTTACTCTGATCATTACAAGTTAGCAATTTACTTCTGTCATCCATTGAATTTTATAAACTGGTTCTAATGTACTACTACAATGCAAATTTTTCAATACTGACAAAGAGACCCTATGGCTTTGGGGAAATGGATTTTGATGAACTTTGGTGTAGAGATAGTACACTATGTGAGTGTACTACCTGTAAAATATTAAAGTGCAACACTCAAATATATTCGAGAAAAACGAACTTAAAGTTTTTTTAGCACTATATATAAGTTATGCTTAAGCATCCCTTGGCTGATTGGTAATGTTCCTGGCTCGTACACTTGAGTGCTTGGGTTCAATTCCCTTCTGTATACTTTTTTTTTTAATTCATAAATACTTATAATGTATTTTTTATTTACTCATTTATTTATTTCTTATTATTTAATTTAATTTCTACTATTCCAAGTCTAATATTTTTACTTTTGTTGACAATAACAGTGCATTCTTGACACTTAGATGGGAAAGTTGACACAAGTGTCAAGAATGCACTTATGTGTTTCCCCAAAGCTGTAGTGTCTCCTTGTGAGTACTGCTAAAGCTTTATTGTTTTTTAAAACTCATAATATTAATTAAAAATAACATCAGTAACATCTTCATTATTAAAATAATTACTTTGCTTTCTTTTCTTCAGATTTTGCAGGTTTTGTTCTCTGATAACGATCCCCCATTCTAGATCCTTCCAACTTCCCAACCAATGATACAACTTCACCAGTAGCTTCATCTCTTGGTCTTCTTTCAATAAGACGTGTATCAGCTTGAAGTACAAGATTTGAATTCTGCAATTTTAAAAAATTAAACTTTAAACATAAAGTAACAAATTTATCAATTAAAATTCTTTATAGGAATTACTACTACAATCAATATTAAATCAAATAAACAAAAAAAATTTTTTTGTTGTGTACACAATGTATAGAATATATAGCTGCCATCAAACATGAATCATATATTAAGATAGATTAATCATAATAACCAAATTTTTAGAAAAATCACTTTAATCAATTAAATATTTTCCATTTTTAAACTTTCAATATTGCATTTTATATTAAGATAGTTTTATTTTATTTAAAAAATGATCTGAAATGTTGAAAGTTTTGAAATTGGAACAATAAATTTAGATTCTAATATATCCAAACAAAAACATCTGATATATAAAAAACTGTACCAAGTAAAAATTATAACAATTTAGACGACAATCAAATTTTTTAATCGGTGCAATTTTTTTATATCTTAAATGTTTTTGTTTGGATATCAAATGTTTTGGTTAATGATTTTTATATAACAGATGTTTAATATTTATATTGTATTACATAGATGTCAGTACATTAATACAATAAAGTCATAAAAACAATGCAGTGTAGAAATGATATTATTTATGCTAAGTTATTTATGTTTATGGATTAACATATTTCAGATTGTATTATATCAAGACCTAAAATGATCATGTACTGAACAGTTTGGTCATTGCTTGATGATAGCTGCCAATTAAACACTTTCAATATGCCATTAGTAAAATCATTATAAAAAGTTTTAATTCACATAAATTTGAGTTTTTGTTACTCAATAACATTTTGAATAAAAATCATTTGTTTCAATTTTATCCTTATTAGCATAAAATTAAGCAATAAAAATAAAATAACTCTATGGGAAACTTCTGTGAACTTTGACCTACTGACCCTAAAGTTTTGCAAGCATCTCACTGATAATGAGTGGGGCTTAAGTTTAAAATTTGAGTATTCTAGACCCAGTAGCTTTTTCTCTACAAGTGTCTGCAATGCCAGATAAAGAAAACCAACAATAACACCGCTTTTTTGGCAATTTTTTCACTTTTCAATTGATTGTATTTTGGCAACTCTTTTATAGAAAAAAATCCAGCAATAAATCATTTAACTTTCCTTGCAACATTTAGTAGTGCCATCTGTTATATTTTATTAAAAAACTTTTTATTTTTAACTATTATAAAATGACAAAAAGCTTAATTTTGATGGTAGGAATAGGTTTTATAAAAAATTGTAAATGCTAATAAGTAAAATCGTCATCAAGTCTAATCCTACTGCAGATACACACAAACCCCTTTACCTTTTACCAAAATTTAATAGCATCTATCTCCTAATAAGCAAACCTCTCTGCAAAATTTCAGAAATTTTCAACAAAAAGCACAGGCATTATTAAGTTTCAAAGAGAGTGAACAAAATCATGCTACTCACCCACCAACAGCCATATATACAAAAACCCCTAATTTATTTATTTATTTTTTGCATTTCTCAATGCTTCAAGGTCCCGAGTCCAAAAATGTAAAAATCTGGGAAGGGGTCATCATCATACTTTCCCTGTTATACATAACAGCCAAGAAAGTAAAAATTTGAAATTTTGCATACTATCCAGGAAGAAAATTATCTTTTGAACAATATACAGTAGAGCATCGATTATCCAACTCAATTGGGGACTCAGGTTGGTCGGATAACTGAAAAAATTGGATAACCAAAAAGAATGAAAAAAATACATCATCAGTATAGTATATCCCATGTAATTAGTATATCGCCATTAACCAACTTTGCGTTGAATTTTCATCAATATTAAGCCTAACAAATTTTTTTTCAAATAATAATCATTGCTGTTGTATTGTTAATTATTTTTAAATTATTTTATTGCTCACAAAACAAACCACCACTCATAATTAGAAAATTAAGTCTCATTTAAATACCTGCCTCCCTTCAATGGTTGAGCTGGCGTTGCCAGCTAAAACACGCAAAAATTTAACAAAAATAATATTAAAGTAGCCAAGACATAGCCAAATATTGTAGTGCCACATCACTAGCGGACATTTGAAATTTGCTGACTAGAACGGTCGGTTAACCGATGTGACGATTAATCGGGGGTTGGATAATCGATGCTCTACTGTATTCTGAATTCTTGTGTGTATATTATATACAGTGTAGGGCAGGGGTGTCCAACCTTTTTGTTTCTCTGGGCCGCATTGGAAGAAGTCAAGGAGTTTTGGGCCACAAGTACTGTACATATAATATATACTTGTGGCCCAATATACAAGTATATTTAAGGATTAACACATCTAGATTATAATAATAAGTATTAAAACTTTATCAAGAAAAAGGATATTTTAAAAATTACTTCTACAGACACTTTCAATTTTTACTTAGAAACAAATGGAATTTTATTTGAAAAACACAAATATTTGTTATATTTGGGTCTCTAATTAATAAAAAGCGACGAAACACCATTTTAAAGTGCATTTTTATTCAACTAATATAATTATAAATAATATGTAGCCCAAAAAGTAGCCAAAGTGCCAAATGATATTTTTTACGTCAAACAAAAAAAGTAGCCACATTTGGTGCAATGTAGCCAAATCTTGCAACGTTGGAAAAAATACTAAATAAAGCTGTAGTTGTGAATCAAAGGATTATAGACCCAAGTGCAGGGAAAGGACAAAAGATAAAAAAGTGAGAAAGGTTGGAAAATTAAGGGTCAACAGAAGCTCTATTTAACCTTTCTCACTACTACATCTTTTGTTTTTTCTCATCTTTCCCTCCTTTTCCCAAATTTGGGTCTATAATCCTTTGAGTCACAACTCCAGCTTTATTTAGTAATCCTTCCTCATTCACACATTTCCAAGTATTTGAAAATATTTCCTTTCCACTCAAAAATAAAATATGAATAAAGGTTTATGGTTTTGCAAAACTTCTTTTTTGAGTTTATGCCGTTGAAATAGATAAATAATAAAAAAATTAAAACATTTTGTTGGTTTTGTTTACACGTTTATTGGGCCACAGGTTGGACACCCCTAGTGTAGGGCCATTAAGCCACGGACCAGTAATCTGTGAATTCACTTAAGCTGCACAAAAAGCTTGGATTCCAATTTTTTGACACTATGGATCATACAGACTTGGACAGGCCTCTCAAACACTCAAGACAGGTGTGACAGTTGTCATTTTGAATGTCCGTGATTGACGTGCTATGCACTATCGCAGATTAAATATTTAAATGATGGCTTATAACTTCAAAGATGTATTTATAGAAGATTAGTCTTTTATTTATCAATAAACAATAAATTCAAATACAGTATTAATCTGTTTTATCCATGTTGAGTGTCAGCCTTATGGAGGCCGTCATTGTAACCAATTCACACCTTACAATGCTACAAAGTTGGTCCGCAAACCACTCAAGCCGCAGTTAAGCAGTTTGGAACCCAATCACCACGGCTTAATGCCCTACACTGTATATATATATATATATATAGTCAGTCAGTGACTTTTTACTTGGCATGGAGTCACTGCCAGATATTCTACAAATATTCTAATCTAAAGTAATTTTTATGCTTGTTAGCAGATTTTATAAACTGAATTAAAAATTCTATATTTACATTTCTATTTCACACTGTTTCCAATAATTTAATGCATCATAATTTTGAAAGTATAATACATATATTGAAAAATCTTTAGACTCTGTACAGAACATACAAAATTTATACTGTGTCCATAATGTAAATTTTATTTTACAAATCACTCTCAAAATACACTTCTTATGAGGGATTCAACAAATTTATAACCAGACAAAACCAGGTTAGAACAATATAAGAATCATCAAATATCATTAATTTATTTCTGAATTTTTTTTGTGAATTTTAATTAATCATCATTAATTTAATAATCAAATTGTCTTCATATATATTTGTAACTATTTCAAACTAAAAGATACTCTAAATTTTTTAGTACAGGTATACCTCGACTTACATCGTTTGTCAAAAAAGTAAGTACTGTAAGGTCTCTTTTTATGCGGATTTTTTTTATGCGATTTTGAAGTTGTGCGGTTTGTATTTCATCCAAAAATTTCTTGGACAAACATACATATAGGCTTGTTTAGGAAGCCCGCGTATAGACANGAAATAAAAACCTCAGTAATAATTTCTAGTTTAATGTTCACAGCTTGTACTCATCTACAATATCTTCAAGTCTTAAAATTTGTGAGTCTAAGTATCATATATACTAATGTATAAGACAAGAACCAAATTTCAGTCTGTATTCCATGTGTGGTGGCTCTTATTAATTGTACAAAATAAGCACATCTTAAATAACTTAACTTCAGTAATAAATTTTAATGGATCAAAATAAAAATTTAAACTCAAAGAAAATAATAAAATAACATAATACATAAGATAACAATAAATACAAAAATATAAACAATATAATGTAAACAAAGTAAAAGTACATACAACATTGTAGGACTAAGCAAAATTTAGGAGTTTTTACAATGATTTTCATGCTGTCAATAGAGGCAGTGTCCTTGTGATTGATACAGTACCATTTATTTTCTTTATGAATTATATGTATTTTATTCATGTTTGTCATTAGATTATTTATAGTGATGAGATGGTACCTTCCCTTGATTCCATTTCTGCTGAAAACTCCTGATTCTAATTCCTTTAAATACTTTCTAAATTTTAGTTTAGAACTAAACTAAACTTTAGAAAAATTAATGATTTATGTTATGAGCATGGTCCATTGATTAATTAATAAACAAGCTTAATAATGAAAAATGATTGGAAAAACCAGAATCAATATTTCAAAAGAAACCCAAAAATTTTCCATTTATATATGGATATGCATGCTTTTGTTGTGTTCTACACAACAAAAACATGCATAACCATTTATAAATGGAAGCTAAGAATAATATTTTTGTATAGTGCAGCTGATGGGATAGTTTTTTGAATAAAAGGGAATTAACTAATTCCCTTTTATTCAAAAAACTATCTTATGAACTACTCATGCTATCATTGGGGTAGGGAGAAGGTAAATGAGAAGATGCACTTCTTTTTTTCCCAAGCTTATCACAATCAGCATTCATCTTAAATATTTTAATTCCATTGTATTTAACACTAAATGATGTTCAGTAAATGGTGCAATGAGCTGAATAAATATCACCATCATTAAGAGTTAATCAATTTTTGAATTCATCCACTTGAACCCAGATTTCTCTAAATGTATACTTGTGTGAACTTTTCTTCAAAGAAAAAAAATCAGATGAATATTTAGACTTATTCATCTTGAAAAAATCAATTTATAAAACTCAAAATAACAGTAAACTTAGCACAAACAAGTATTTTTACTTAGAATCAAGTGAATTACATTTAAAAATTTAATGTAGTACAGGCATCATGTGTGAATCATAACAACTTTCATAATTTTAACAAGAAAGTCATCTATCCTATTGTTATAAGTAAACTTACTGAATATTAAAAATAATTTTATATAATATTTTTTCAATTAAAATATAATTTTGCTTATATTTTAAACCATTTCACTGACATTTAAATATTTTTGCCAACCACCAGCTTTGATTTAAAATTACCGGTCAAGCTGACTCAATGTCACTCTGTCGCTTTTAAAATGGGAACAGTTAGTATTGACCACGTGCAACTTCTCATTGCACTAACTACATGAAAGAAAAGTCCTCCAAGACAAACATCACCCCATGTATGGGGGTTTCACATACTCTCTGCTTTATCAACACAAAAGTTTCCAATAAACTAATACTTAATCGTTAATATCGTAAATTTAATCTTCAACCAAAACAAATAATGTTATTATTAAATATGGAAGAATCATTTTAGGAATCAGAAACTGTGATGAATTTGCTCAATTTTTCCAATTCTGATTAATTGTCTCATCACTAGTTATTTATATTTTTATTTCTGTTTAGTTTAAATTTTATGCATGTTCTATTTTATTTAGGACGCTTTGTGTTCTTTTTCATTTAGATTTTATATTGTTCCAAATGATGAACACCTAAAAACTTATTCTTTAAAGCTGGAACTTTTTTTCAAAAGATTGATATTAAACTGTCCTTTTTGCATGTTTTTAGCACTTCAGATATAAATGAGAAGCAAATGTTTTCAGTCTCTTTCAGGAATCAGCGTCATTTTATCAAAGCTAAAAACTCTCCAATAAAAAGCTGGTCTCTGAAAAAGGTCGAAAACATTTGCTTCTCATTCATATCTGAAGTGTTAAAAATGTACAAAAAAGGTCAGTTTAATAGCAATGTTTTTCAAGAAGACCTATATGACTAGGTTTGAAAATGTGTTTGGTCCATTAAATTTATTACTAAATAAAATAAATCCCACCTTTATCTATCCAGCAATAAATATGTAATAATATAAAAACATTTTTATATTATTAAATATTTATTGCTGGATAGATAAAGGTGGAATTTATTTTATTTATTCAAATTCCAGTAGATTTTATTTTTGAATTTATTACTACAGTTATTAAAGGTATGCTTATTTCATTCAGTTACTTATCCAGTTTTGGAAATTCTTGTGTGTCTTATTGGTTTTATAAAATGACCCTCCAAAATTCTAAACCTACAGATCAAAATCAAACTTGAGGTTAGGCTACAGCTCCATTTATAATATTATTCAAAATTATAAAAGTAAGAATTTTAAATCTGCTTGTTTTTATGTATTATAATATCATTATTTTTCCATAAACAAGTTATTCTACTATTATTCTATCAAAACACAAATAAAAACTATTCTGATCAACCAGCTCAACCTAAAATATTATTCTGATCAACAGAATAGTATTTTTGCAAGGGCCTATAAATCTGGATTTAGCTAAAGCCAAAATGTATAAAAAGTACTAATTTTCACTAACTGTACTACTATTAAACTAATTATAAAATTAATTATGTCACCTTACTCTGATCATTACAAGTTAGCAATTTACTTCTGTCATCCATTGAATTTTATAAACTGGTTCTAATGTACTACTACAATGCAAATTTTTCAATACTGACAAAGAGACCCTATGGCTTTGGGGAAATGGATTTTGATGAACTTTGGTGTAGAGATAGTACACTATGTGAGTGTACTACCTGTAAAATATTAAAGTGCAACACTCAAATATATTCGAGAAAAACGAACTTAAAGTTTTTTTAGCACTATATATAAGTTATGCTTAAGCATCCCTTGGCTGATTGGTAATGTTCCTGGCTCGTACACTTGAGTGCTTGGGTTCAATTCCCTTCTGTATACTTTTTTTTTTAATTCATAAATACTTATAATGTATTTTTTATTTACTCATTTATTTATTTCTTATTATTTAATTTAATTTCTACTATTCCAAGTCTAATATTTTTACTTTTGTTGACAATAACAGTGCATTCTTGACACTTAGATGGGAAAGTTGACACAAGTGTCAAGAATGCACTTATGTGTTTCCCCAAAGCTGTAGTGTCTCCTTGTGAGTACTGCTAAAGCTTTATTGTTTTTTAAAACTCATAATATTAATTAAAAATAACATCAGTAACATCTTCATTATTAAAATAATTACTTTGCTTTCTTTTCTTCAGATTTTGCAGGTTTTGTTCTCTGATAACGATCCCCCATTCTAGATCCTTCCAACTTCCCAACCAATGATACAACTTCACCAGTAGCTTCATCTCTTGGTCTTCTTTCAATAAGACGTGTATCAGCTTGAAGTACAAGATTTGAATTCTGCAATTTTAAAAAATTAAACTTTAAACATAAAGTAACAAATTTATCAATTAAAATTCTTTATAGGAATTACTACTACAATCAATATTAAATCAAATAAACAAAAAAAATTTTTTTGTTGTGTACACAATGTATAGAATATATAGCTGCCATCAAACATGAATCATATATTAAGATAGATTAATCATAATAACCAAATTTTTAGAAAAATCACTTTAATCAATTAAATATTTTCCATTTTTAAACTTTCAATATTGCATTTTATATTAAGATAGTTTTATTTTATTTAAAAAATGATCTGAAATGTTGAAAGTTTTGAAATTGGAACAATAAATTTAGATTCTAATATATCCAAACAAAAACATCTGATATATAAAAAACTGTACCAAGTAAAAATTATAACAATTTAGACGACAATCAAATTTTTTAATCGGTGCAATTTTTTTATATCTTAAATGTTTTTGTTTGGATATCAAATGTTTTGGTTAATGATTTTTATATAACAGATGTTTAATATTTATATTGTATTACATAGATGTCAGTACATTAATACAATAAAGTCATAAAAACAATGCAGTGTAGAAATGATATTATTTATGCTAAGTTATTTATGTTTATGGATTAACATATTTCAGATTGTATTATATCAAGACCTAAAATGATCATGTACTGAACAGTTTGGTCATTGCTTGATGATAGCTGCCAATTAAACACTTTCAATATGCCATTAGTAAAATCATTATAAAAAGTTTTAATTCACATAAATTTGAGTTTTTGTTACTCAATAACATTTTGAATAAAAATCATTTGTTTCAATTTTATCCTTATTAGCATAAAATTAAGCAATAAAAATAAAATAACTCTATGGGAAACTTCTGTGAACTTTGACCTACTGACCCTAAAGTTTTGCAAGCATCTCACTGATAATGAGTGGGGCTTAAGTTTAAAATTTGAGTATTCTAGACCCAGTAGCTTTTTCTCTACAAGTGTCTGCAATGCCAGATAAAGAAAACCAACAATAACACCGCTTTTTTGGCAATTTTTTCACTTTTCAATTGATTGTATTTTGGCAACTCTTTTATAGAAAAAAATCCAGCAATAAATCATTTAACTTTCCTTGCAACATTTAGTAGTGCCATCTGTTATATTTTATTAAAAAACTTTTTATTTTTAACTATTATAAAATGACAAAAAGCTTAATTTTGATGGTAGGAATAGGTTTTATAAAAAATTGTAAATGCTAATAAGTAAAATCGTCATCAAGTCTAATCCTACTGCAGATACACACAAACCCCTTTACCTTTTACCAAAATTTAATAGCATCTATCTCCTAATAAGCAAACCTCTCTGCAAAATTTCAGAAATTTTCAACAAAAAGCACAGGCATTATTAAGTTTCAAAGAGAGTGAACAAAATCATGCTACTCACCCACCAACAGCCATATATACAAAAACCCCTAATTTATTTATTTATTTTTTGCATTTCTCAATGCTTCAAGGTCCCGAGTCCAAAAATGTAAAAATCTGGGAAGGGGTCATCATCATACTTTCCCTGTTATACATAACAGCCAAGAAAGTAAAAATTTGAAATTTTGCATACTATCCAGGAAGAAAATTATCTTTTGAACAATATACAGTAGAGCATCGATTATCCAACTCAATTGGGGACTCAGGTTGGTCGGATAACTGAAAAAATTGGATAACCAAAAAGAATGAAAAAAATACATCATCAGTATAGTATATCCCATGTAATTAGTATATCGCCATTAACCAACTTTGCGTTGAATTTTCATCAATATTAAGCCTAACAAATTTTTTTTCAAATAATAATCATTGCTGTTGTATTGTTAATTATTTTTAAATTATTTTATTGCTCACAAAACAAACCACCACTCATAATTAGAAAATTAAGTCTCATTTAAATACCTGCCTCCCTTCAATGGTTGAGCTGGCGTTGCCAGCTAAAACACGCAAAAATTTAACAAAAATAATATTAAAGTAGCCAAGACATAGCCAAATATTGTAGTGCCACATCACTAGCGGACATTTGAAATTTGCTGACTAGAACGGTCGGTTAACCGATGTGACGATTAATCGGGGGTTGGATAATCGATGCTCTACTGTATTCTGAATTCTTGTGTGTATATTATATACAGTGTAGGGCAGGGGTGTCCAACCTTTTTGTTTCTCTGGGCCGCATTGGAAGAAGTCAAGGAGTTTTGGGCCACAAGTACTGTACATATAATATATACTTGTGGCCCAATATACAAGTATATTTAAGGATTAACACATCTAGATTATAATAATAAGTATTAAAACTTTATCAAGAAAAAGGATATTTTAAAAATTACTTCTACAGACACTTTCAATTTTTACTTAGAAACAAATGGAATTTTATTTGAAAAACACAAATATTTGTTATATTTGGGTCTCTAATTAATAAAAAGCGACGAAACACCATTTTAAAGTGCATTTTTATTCAACTAATATAATTATAAATAATATGTAGCCCAAAAAGTAGCCAAAGTGCCAAATGATATTTTTTACGTCAAACAAAAAAAGTAGCCACATTTGGTGCAATGTAGCCAAATCTTGCAACGTTGGAAAAAATACTAAATAAAGCTGTAGTTGTGAATCAAAGGATTATAGACCCAAGTGCAGGGAAAGGACAAAAGATAAAAAAGTGAGAAAGGTTGGAAAATTAAGGGTCAACAGAAGCTCTATTTAACCTTTCTCACTACTACATCTTTTGTTTTTTCTCATCTTTCCCTCCTTTTCCCAAATTTGGGTCTATAATCCTTTGAGTCACAACTCCAGCTTTATTTAGTAATCCTTCCTCATTCACACATTTCCAAGTATTTGAAAATATTTCCTTTCCACTCAAAAATAAAATATGAATAAAGGTTTATGGTTTTGCAAAACTTCTTTTTTGAGTTTATGCCGTTGAAATAGATAAATAATAAAAAAATTAAAACATTTTGTTGGTTTTGTTTACACGTTTATTGGGCCACATTGGAACTTGCCTTAGTCCGCGGGTTGGACACCCCTGCTATACAGTATAAATATAGCTAACCGTTGTGACATCATACGTATTAGTTACAATTTTAAAACCTTAAAAATGAAAACTGATTATATTAACCTGTAAATGTACAATTCACGTGGAAATTGTATAAAATTTTTTGAAAAAAATTTTAAATAAGACAAAATTCAATATTAAAATCTGCTTTAGTATCCAATAATTTCAGCGGTTACGTAGGTGTTCTCAACAACTTGGCTACTAAGGTACATAAAAGTGTTGTACAAGTATCTTACATATTTATCTATTATAGTAATGGAATAATTAAATGTTCACGACAATATTAAAAGTCAATGTAATAGAAACAAATAGGAAAAGGAGGCTATAAACAAGCTCCGTAATACTTATTATATTACATGCGACGCTGCGCCCTCAATTATCTGATACCAGTAGCGTGCCGTCATTAGAAGCGTTGGAAGCGCCGCTTCCCTCGTATTCTCTAAAAAATAAATAAATATTAATTTTAATTATATGAAAATAATCGCACAATATTTTATTATAACCGTATTATGTATCTTATTACAAATTTCTATACTACACGTGAAAAAAAAAAAA